CTCGTGTGTAAAAGGCTTCCCAGGCGGGACGAAAGATCACATGCCCTTTCTTCACGGCATCCATGCTTCCTCGCAAGCGCACCTGGAAACCATTTACCACTTACCTGATGCGTGTACGCACCTGGCAGGCGTCTCTAGTTGCAGTCTCCTAGCTTGCAAGGGCACAGATTCAAGTGGCCCCTCCGAGGCTCGTTCAGTAGGACTGAGTTCTGTAGGTCTGATAAGTGGATCTGGGATCTGGTGTAAGGTGTACAACTGACTGTCCAGTAAAAGTTAAATTCCCAGCTAGAGGACGAACACGTCTGTTCACTACTTTCTTGACACTCTTCAGGCAGGCAGAAAAAGTAGAAGTCAATGCACCTTGGGGGAAGGTTACTGGGAATTCTTGTGTCATTGGCCATAGCGGCTAAGGCTGTACATCAAAAAGAGATTAAAAGTCTTCCACAGGCGACGCAAACCCCCGCAACTGCTCCCACACGTCAATTACTGGGGCGGTGTTTTCCACCCTATTTCGCCAAAACGTGTCACCCAGGGTAGCTTCGTTGATCCGCAAATCTAGAATTTACTACTTTCATGCCTCCCATTAGGATTCTCCGCTTCCAGACGTGTTGCTGGCCTGCACGGCAAAGTCCTCGAATGCTGCGGTGAGTTCTAAGGCTTTTCAGGAAGTCAATATTGATAGTCCTGCGACACCTCCAACTTTAGAGATATCGATAAAATAAGAAAGTTCATTGTTTTTGAGCGATTGGCAACTGACCTTACTTATCTGGCCGCAAACGACTTCGTCTGGTCACCCTCTGAAGCACCGTGTACAAAAGCTCGCTGTTCCACCAATACCACGTCTCCAAGCTTCAGACACGCAGCCAACCGCCGCTTATCATTTTTATGTGTTTGTCTCTCTTGAGCTTTGCACATACATTCGTGTACAGTAGCCGGCTGTTCTCTGATTCCACCTCTGCTAGTGGCTACCACATCCAGGCTTGGATTGGAGGGAGACTTCTCAGGGCCAACCAAGGATTTAGTAGCACAAAGGGGAGCCCAGTACACTGTTGCAATATGAATTAATATAGCGTGAGGAAGGATATCAAGCGAATTAATCGGACGTTCGTGAGCATAGAGTCACGAATGTTGCAGAAGGGTGTGGTTGGCGAGCTTATTCTGTCCTTTCGCCTAAGGGAGGTTCGCAGCGGTCAAATTATGGTCACTCTGTACGCAGGTCACAAAGGGACGGGTAAAATTTTGTACTATAAACTCAGTTAGCACACGAGAAAAGCGAAACCTAGATACTTGGATTTGTGTGAAAATAGACACAAATATTGCAGAAAAGTGCGGTCGGTGCAATTTGCGTGCCTGTCTGCCTCACGGTGTTTCGCAGTGATCACATCTTGGCCAATGTATAGGTAATTCACCAAGGCACGCAAGGACGCACCAACGAAATTAGAGCTCCTATCCGTAATGATACTCCTAGAAAATCCGTGGGGGTTCTAGAAATTTTAACAATATTTCAGCGACTTTCTGAGCCAGGGCAGAGTTGGAACTAGGGACGAGATCGGGCTTCTCTGCTAAGTCTGCGACATCGGCCTAAAATCTATTTTGGTTCTTGACACCTCTGGTAGTCCAACAGCAAAGTCCATAGTCAGGTAAGCTCGAATACTTCGGAGGCTTTGCAGCAGACTGGTCTAAGAACGTTGGGCGGCTTTAGCTGCTGACAATTGATGCATGACGAAGCAATACTCATCTGCGGGGATGCATCCGGGGTCACCGAATGGACCACGAGAGCGATTCTACCCTTGTGCGAGGCTTTGCATGGCCTACGAATGCATGATTATGTGCTTTGAACAAAAAGGCACTACTGAGCGAAGTCAAAAATGTCGGAGCACAGAATCCACCCCTGATTTTAAATTTTAGAAAGCCAGCTTCAATTTGTTAGTGGTGGATCTGGTGTCATTCTGAATCGTGGCAATAAGAGCACATGCACGTTGTCAACGTACAAGACGCGTGGTGTCTTGATGGGGAGTTGGAAATATCAGACAAAAGCGGCTGTGCTGCAGAACAATGAGCAGCTGTAACGTCTCTAGATTGTTTAAAAGCAGCACAATTCGACTTAACACTGCATACGGCTAATTTCTAGCAGATTCACACGCGGTGTGATTACTAACACATATAGAACTAAGGACCCTGAACGCTCAAAGTCTACCAGGGCCCTCAGCCACTAGTAGGTCAACCACGGGTATATGGCAGTTTTATATCATAACCTGATAAGGGCCGTGAGCGGTCACTACTTGTGATCAACGACGTCATTCCAGGATTTGTCATAATTGCGTGGGATCTCCCCATGGCGAATGCACCGCGTCCATTGGGCTAATTGAGGGGGTCCTTGAAGCTCCAGCTTGGCTTGCACGCTGAAGTGTAGGCAACGATACTCATTGACGACGGAACGGTCGTTACCCCTTAATTGTGCGCAAAGTTCAGCATCGCATTAAAGCGTTAAATGCGTCCTGGTGACAAATTTTCTTGATATAGATGCTGGGATCAGACTTACATGGGTGCTGCAGCCGGCCCACTGAGCATGAACGAATGAAGGCCAAGATTGGTCTTACGATGCGTTGTTGGACTAATCACATCGATCTGCGAAACTGGAAAAGTATAAGCTCTTTATTATGATATAAAATTCAGCAGAGGTTGGGGAGATAAAGAAGAGTGGTCATCGAGTTTGGGATCTCCACATGCGCGCACTTGGCCAGCACTGAAGACTCTTGCTATCCTATCATGTTGGCGAGGCTTGAGGCGGCATTAAAGATCATCAGTAGGTGCCGTTACAAAGTGTGCTGTCGTTGGGGGGCTTTTATGTATGGAGAGAGGCCCTAGGCAGAGAATCTACCTAATGTAGAATTGCGGCGCCCCTTTGGGGCGAGGGTGAGTTTTAAAGGGCCTTTTTGTCGATCTATTGGGGCCATACCCCGCCGAATAGTGGTTACAGGTGGGGTTTTCAAATCAGGGACACCGCAGGACCACAAGGAACTTTGAGAAAAACTATTTAGAGTATGTTTTAAAGATGTTGCCTATCTCTGTTCCTACTGCAAGGTTTTAGCATGAGGGCCAAGCGAACAGCTGGTCTGTACGCCGCTGCATGCTGTACAGATGGGAAGCAATCACTCACTGCACCTGTACAAGGTAACTAAATGGAAAGGCTCACTGTATTCTTCCTTATCGTATGGAGCCAAACGTACTTTTCAACGAATCCAATATACGGACAGCGAACCCAAGCAGTCAGTCATACACAAAATTACATATTCCCACAGACTAAAAACTCTGTATGTCTGCCTTAATCTGTCTTTTTGGCCCTTGGAAGAGGAAAACAAGTATACTTCAGAGGTTTTGATAGGTGTTGGGGGCTGAGAGCGTCCTTATGAAGTTCCCAGGAAGAGCAGTACATCGAGTATGTCAGGCCATGTAGCTCGCCAAGCTAAACAAAAGGTCTCTCGTGCATCATTGTACCTGTAGTGCTTACTTAATCATCGACTGACTGTTAAACAGCTGTTACATTGTGCTCGCTGCATAGCGGGGGCTGCCCCTATGCTACAAGAATGCATACCTCCTGACCGCGCCCCATTTCACTGGAAGCGACAATGTTGCCAATGCATGAATCTTCCAGAGAGGGCCGCGAATAACGCCTTTACTGTCCTCTTTTCTTGAGGCCGGAGCCTTTTGTATTGAACGCCTAGAGACAGGAAAACTCTTTGGAATGTTGTTGAATCTCTTAGCTGGACTAAGCCGCTGGGAACTATCATGTGGAGGTTCTGTAAGTACCGTTATGGAGCCCAACACTGCATCCTCGAAGCCTCAAAACTGAATTTCTAATGAGCCCATCAGGTTGAGCAACTGAAGGAATTGAAAGGGAAGAGGGTGGGCGCGGCTATTCTGGGCAGCAACTACGGTTCTCTGATCACAAATATATGTGATCATACAGACACCCAATACTCATCTGCATCTAATACTGAAAAGTTCTTAATAACCTTTTAGAAAGCCACTGAAAGCAGAAATACGTACACAATGTGCTAGGGCCGGATGCAGGCAGGCGAATGGCGAGAGGTTTAATGTCCATGGAGATCTATGAGCAGTAAGTTCAAGGTCCAAAGTAACTTCAAATGTTTAAAAATGGCTCCTTCTGATCAAAGAGCGCAATAGTAATACAATGACTAGTAAGTCTCTTCCATAGTTTCATCCTATGCATGTCACAAATTGCCAGAAGGGTGGTGGACTGCTGGACGCAGAGTGAGTCCTTTTCAGTGTACGCTGTAGCAAGAGATGACACTCCTTTTGGTAGTGCTTAATTCATGTGTTTCACTTGCTGAACCTCTTCTTGGGGTCAACTTTCGCTTACCATGGGAACAACGGCACTGGCCGCGATATCGAGATGAGGGTCTCTAAAATTTGTGATTGAAAGAAAAGCCACGCTTGTTGAACGCCCGATATATTGCCTGAGAAATCATCATATTTTTCGCTATATTTATAGAAAAAGCACTCTTTTCTGGTCTCAGGCAGTCGGTAGAATCCGCTTACCCATCACCAACGCCACCAGAGAGACGCTGCACAGGTATGGAGTAGAGTATTTCCTTCATAGGATGAAGGTACTCAAACTCCAAATCCATGTAAATAGAGAAATCGATTTGTATTGACGCAATCGTTTTTGAGATTCGACAATCGGACCACTGTGTTGCACGGGATTGCCCTTCAGGTCCCGAATAACTAGAAAATACGGTGCTGTGCTGCGCAACCCAATATGACTCCTCCAGAGTTCACGCAAGCCATCACAAATATGTAAATCTGGAGAGCCCTAAATAGGACTCTTTGTGCCGCCGTCTGAGGTTAGGCGCAAACAGTTTGGCAGTTCAAATCCTAAGCACATCTCGGACTCGCATAGTGATTCGCCAGGCTCTCCCCTCTGGGGCGCATTCGAGTGTGCTGTCCGAGGTATTTTTGTAGGACATGTACTCATGATGGAAGCAGAGATAACCCCATCATGTTTTGTGTTCGACGAGCCTTTCACATCGCAAAGGCTACAACAGCTGCTCGACAGCGTGCAAAACGGAGCAGAGTTAGAAACAAGCGAAAAGGTCCCTCAGAAGGAAAGTGCTAGCAATAGTTTCCGTCAGTATTCTGTCAAGAATATGCAAGGCTTTCGGCATCTTCTGTTGGTCAATGCAGATCTGACCCCCAAGATACTTGAGCAAGTCGTGTGCGCAGTCGCATTTTCCAAGAGCCACCTTAAAAGCTCCTTGATCCATGTCGGTTGCCGACAGCCAAATCTCTCCTGTCAAGTGGCCAGATAAGGTAGTTGACTCTGTTTCCTGCCATTGTGTGTTCTGCTTACTTGACGAGTCTGCTGTTTCAGAAACGGAATACTGAGTAGCTGTCTTTCCCAGAGGCTGTTGAGCGTCTCCCTAGATGACAATGCTCTTGGAGAAGAAGCCGCTCCATCTGTTTTCAGGCTTTTGCAGCAAATTCCGAATTTGAGGGCAAGTCTTTCCTATATAGTTGCAGGCGGGCCATAGCAAATCTACCGCTGCAGAGTAGTCTCCCTTACTACTGTGCTACCCTTGGTTCCAGTCCTCTACTAAAAGTGTACGGTTGACTGCTGACCGGCCATTCATGTCACGTCGCTGTTTTGGGTATACACAGCCCCGAGGATGACCCGCTGTGTATGCTCGAGCAAAACGAATATATTAAAGAGGGCAAGCTCTACTAGACTCGTACTTTGCTAAAATGTGCGCGAATACTCGTAGTTCAGCTACAGTGTTTGAATGGTTCTGTCTGTTCACTTCACTAGGTACTATCACTGAGAAATACTGGCATAACTGATGGTTTTCTGTCTCGCATTATTGGGTTTTGTGCTCAAATGAAGAAGAGAGACGAATCAATAATGGTAAGTGGATGCCCACCAAAATCCCAGCCACCCCGAATACAATTCAAGGATTGATATTGTCGGTGATTGGAAGCACTGACGTAACGTGGTGCCAGGCAATAAGGAAGCAATCAGATCGGTGTATACGGGATAATGATAATATCAAATAGCTTACTTAGCTCCGCTACCGCTGGCCTCATCGGGCTGTAGTGCTTCTACTAGCACTGCGAATGGACCTCATACAGGTGAAGTCACTCGTCGTTCATTGTCGACACCAAAAGCTTTGTGTATTACGCAGATAGACGTGCGTAACAACGGGCTCCTTACCCCTAGAGGCGCACTCGCCCTAGCTGCTGGGAAGTGTTTCTTTTCACAAGGCCTGAGAATTTTTAGCGACCTCCAACTACCTGAAGATAGCCATTAACCCTCTTGAGGATGGCAAACAATTGCCAAGCTATTTATATCAATTTATATTCCCTGAATTCAAGTAATGCAGTAAAGTCTGCTTTTTGCTAGAACAAACTCATGTAACGAAACTGCGAGCTCGCAATTCTAAAGGTGGTAATATCAATAATAACCAAGATTAGGCAGGGTAATCCAACGTAACAGATGAGAGCTACGCTTTAATCGTTAAGCTATTTGAACACAGCTTGAGGGGGCTTTGCCACAGAAAGCCCATATATGAATTTATCAGGAAGCATAATGAAGAAGTCTGTTTATCCTGATAATTGTTTCGTTCGAAAATTTAGGGTCCACAGTCAAGTATGCCAAAAACGGCTAGAGCAGCACGGACCGACCACAACCAGGCATGCATAGCCACACGGCTTAAAAAGGAAGACGAGGCTCAAGAACAACTTAGCGACGGTCAGCGATACGTAGAGTTCCTCTAGAAGTAAACCATACACATAATCAACGATGGGAGCTAGATTCCTTATACATTCCCCATACTACAATGAAGGAGCGGAAGCTTTAAGCTATGCATGAATTTTAAAGACGCACTAGCTTAGAGCGAATACTTCGCATTAACTCCTCACTTGTAGCGCCCCACGAACTAGTATCCCGGTCTGTTATTTACAATCATCCCCTTGTTGAGAAACAAGGCCTCGGCGCTACATTCTTCTTCTCGTGCTGGCAACATGCCAAACCTGACTATATCATAAGAAAATGTTGGTTTTTGTAAATGTACCATCTTCTCGCTTATGAGGGGACTATTATGTCGTGCTTCAATGATGCAACAGGCTTTCTACCGGGGGCCCTTTCATCTCAGCTCTCTGCGGTACCATTGCCTAATGCCGGCGAGAAGACTTTAATAATGTGAACACAGTCCCATTATTGTGCCGAATAAGGAACGCGTATTAAGCAGGTATATCCAGTGAGAAGTTTCTTTCACGTGCATTTCTATTGCAATCCCTCACCGTTTTCGAATAGTTTCATAAGCAGAACCTCAAAACAGTCTTTATTAAGCTGGCAAGCGCATAACAAAGCTTATAGGGGCAAGTAAGTTAGAGTGCGTGTCAGCTACATGGAAGTTAATCGGATCCTACAACCACGGGCAAGAACACCACTATGGGCGCATGAGCGTGTGATTGCAGTGATCTAAATTCCAACTCTACTAGAATCTTGATTAAAATCCAGACATTATTGTTTTAGTACTGTAAATGGATGGACCTGTTCTTGGGAATCGTGCATAACACCAGATAGATTCTAGGAGATCGCCTCTGCCCCACGGCAAGTTCTCCATTCGGCTTTTGTATGCACCTTTTGTTTTCTATGTGCTCCTTCTTAGCACCTTCAATAGCAAAGCTTAAAAACCAATCTATTTTTTAGGCTTGGTGGAAGGCGTCATAGTCGGAGAACAATAGTAGCTTTGAATTTGTAGCTTCGAGCCCACAGCTTACACAGGTGGCTAGGGGAGGTTCGATGCGCTCATGGCTTCACGTTGCTGCAATACACTGGAAACACAGCAACTGTCAATTCTTCGTTCTTGCGTTTGGCTTTCTACTTGTACTCCTTGCGTTGACTAGGCTTGAACAGTTAGTAGTTGCTTGCTGTGTTTTTACTCACTAACTTGCCTCTTGTTGCCCGCTAGGCAATGCAAAACGCTTTCAAAGAAAGCGTAAGCAAGCATCTGGAGGTGTAGAGGTGAGTTCCAAAATGCATATTCAATGTGAAGCCGCTGACTTTGCTTTTGGTATGAATTGAATTTCAACGCGGGAAACAAAGGTCGGTGAACAGCGCAAGGAGACTAGGCAGGGCCGGCTGCACCAGTACCATCCAGTAGAATAAACCTCAACTGTTATTTCTCTTACATTATAATTTAAGCATTTGGATAAAGCCTTGTTGGGTTCTGGATTCATGATGAGTGAGGCAACGGCTCAAGTTCCCCTAGGAAGTGAAGGGCTGGAAGGAGCTAAGCGAGGAGATACGGAGACACAGGAGGAGTTTGACCACACAGCTTCTACTGAGCAGGAAGAGTCTGTATCGCACGCTCAGGATAATTCCCGCTGGAAAGAAATCACAGTTACTGGGGATACTGAATGGGACATCCACAACATTGATCTGCCAGGGACGGAGACGGGGCTTAGCCACGCTCTTTCGCGTCCCACGGAGGAGGAATATTGGAGTCATGCATTTGATCAGGTGGAGGCTTTTGCAGTGCCAAGCAACCCATTAAGAACACGAAGGAGTGGGTATGTACCACTGGCCATCGCACTACTGCTCGTTCTTGCTGTGGTGATTGGAGGAGCGATAGTCAGACAGCTTATTCGACCCCCCGAAGCGATCAGGGGTGGCGTCAAAGATGCAACTACGCATGTGACGGCACCTTCTGGGAGAGAAGTCACATTTTCACCGAAGGCGAAAGTTCCAACTGGCAAACCCACAATGGAAGGAAAATTCCCTGAAACAAAGGGTTTTGAAGTGCCTCAGGAATTGCAAAGGGATAGGGAAGAAGCGTTGGGTGATCTTGAAGATTTTCTCAATGCTTTGGACGACTAAGGGGAACAGCAAGTCAAGAAGAACCAAAAATCATTCTCGTCAGTCTTGGCTGAACATGGGATACAAGAGGCTCTCAGTAAGTCGGCATGCTTCTTCTAGCCTGCCGCAGCGAAGCGTGCCTGCATGTGGTCCTCAAGTTCGTACAGCATTAAGCAAGGCAACAGGAGAGCTGCAACGCTCCATGGAAAGGTAGCGATTGTTGCACCATCGGTTGCAGCAGCAGTATGTGCAACAGTAGTGGAAAAGCGCATTAAGAATACGGGGCTAACCATGATATCTCTAAGAGGAGCCGCAGATTTGTTTGCTTGCTGGTGGACAATTCCCCAGCTCTGTTCCCTTCAAGTGCACATGGTGAAGTCAATATGTGCTGAAGGCTACATTTTTTTATACGTACTTAGGTTACTAATTTGGTAGAAGCTACGAGAGGGATAAAGTTATTAAAATATGGGAGGACACAGTAACTGAACGAGCGTGCGGCTTTACAGATGTTGTTGAAGGGCAGCGCAGGACGAGATACACACATTTATGATGTGGGATAAGCAGGGAAAAAACAGCCTGTGCTGTAGTCTACGAGCTTGCCCCATCGTTACCATTATCCCCGATGAATTCTGAACTGCTAGGTGGAACAATGGCTCCGCAGTTAGGAACAGCACGGAGTGCCGAGAGCGCAGCAAGGAAAAAGTAATCGGTAAAGCAGTAAATGGAACGCCACTGTATTGCAAATTAGCAATTACATTTGTATGCTTCAATAAGATATCTATTGAGTTCGCTCTCCCGGTTGAGGGTTGACCGAAGAGTTACTCTTTTATGTAGCGGTGCATCTGAATTTTAAGGGCATCTGCGGAGACTTTTTACTCTGGATCCAATGCATGCTTCCTAGAATGTTATGAAGTGTTCCTCAAAATATTTCTGTCCCATTCCTACTTGCGTCCCTCAAATTTCGCGGCGAGGCGGGGGACAACTGGGGTGCGCGTAGTAGCATCCTGCAAGCACTCCCGGGCATGCACAGACGGACAGACGTTGTTTTTTGTTGTGTATCTAACGGTCCTCAGAAAAAGTTCAAGCAATTTCAAGAGGCAAGCCACTCTGCCAAAGTAGTTTTTAGCTGAATACAACTAGTGTGAAGGAGAGAATTTGCGGCTCAGCTCATAAAAGTTTACATCCTGTACAGAGGTCCGCGTGCACCATCCGCCAAAACGCAAACAAATAACAATACAGAGATCCATATGGACTTGTCGTAAAACACGAATAAAGCCCTAAGTAATCAAATTTTTGAAGGACTGAAGATCTACAAGGGAACACTCTGCTGCACTAGACTTAGTGGAGGTCGCTTGATTGTGCTCAGACCTGCCATTACGACATTCGGTCTTTACGATGAACTGAAATGTTACACTTCAAACAAAGCGACCCAATTTACAGACACGGACGCTGCTAGCTCTCCTTATGCATGTTGCGCAAAGCAGCAAACTCGCATTTCTGTGTCTGAATAATCTGCAACCTCCTATCAGCCCCATCATTAACTATTTTAGTTCCTTGTAGTTTCCAGATATTCACCACGTAGGCACAACACAAAAGAAGCGTGCGTTTGAAAGGAGCATGGTACAAAGAAGGCGCAGCTGAGCTGGGGGTGAAAGAAACGGCAAGCGCCCCAAACAGCGGGATGCAATTGCGTGTCCGCTTCAACCACTTTCAGGCACTTAGACTTTACAGGCGATCCAAGAATGCGTGTAAGTCTAGCACATGATGTGTTGTATATTTTGGATACGCATCTCAGAGGCAAGCTGCCCCAGATTGGATTGCATGAATAATCGAACGCGTCATGCTGGTCCATAAGGATGGTCCTCCCCATTAAAAACGAATTCATTCCATCGGATGATCCTGTCCAGTTCGATACTGCTGCGCAAAATCTGACTCTCTCTCATCCTTGTTCAAATTGTCTCTTTGTGGGGCCCTCGCTTCACCCTAGCTGTATACTCTCGTCAAAGGTTCTCTCTGATAAGACCCTTCAACTTATTCATGTCTGATGAGAAATTTCTTATCCCCTCTGCAAGCTTTTCTGTAGCCATAGCGTCTTCATTCAGCATCCACCTAAATGTCTTTTCGTCTAAATTCAGCTTCTGAATTGGCTTTTTCTTCGCGTTTTGCGGAGACAGCCTCGAATTCACGTCGACAGAACTCGCTTGCAACTCCTGTAGCAGCTTTGGGGCGATCGTCAGCTTGTCACACCCCGCCAAAGTCAGTATCTCATCTGCAAATGGAGAAAAAAAAACGTGTAGACAAACAAATAAACTGTTGGAAGTGTAGGCGTTAACATGGCCAGAACAAGGCATCCAGGCAGAGGGATGTAGAGCGACACTATTCAGGATACACAATTCACAGGCATATTAATCACATTCAAATTAAATGACACTCAGTTAGAATATCTGCCTGCGTTTTACGAACAAACGGATACAGGCCTAACCAATCGTGCAGCCTGTGCTGCAGGTGTATCAGTCCTGTCAAATCTACTAGCATACATCAACCTTCTTACTAAACAAATACTAAAACCCAGGAATGTGCATTCCCGTTACAGAAAATCCTTTGCTATTCACTCAATCGATCCAAAATTTTTAACTACCTGTCTTCCACAAAAACAATGAACGTTTAATTATATCTCACCTGTATTTCGAAACGATGCGGCCATTACGGTGGTTTTGATACCGAAGTGCTTAAAATAATTGTATATTTGTGTGACACTCTTCACTCCAGGGTCTTCAGCACCAGAAAAGGTGGCGCTTGCGTCCTGTTTCTTGTGCCAATCCAAGATACGTCCAACGAATGGCGAAACCAAATAGGCCCCAGCATCGCTGGCTGCTACTGCCTGCAACAAGACAGGTAGAATGCGCAAGCATTAGGCTTAACCATCAAAAAAGTAGCAAGTCTGAAAAGAAAAGAGTCGAAGGCCAAAAGGAACAACGAGTTGACTAAAGCGAGAAAATTCTATTTCGCGACTTGGGTGAACGATATACTACATATAAATAGTCAAGCAATCAAGCGGAATAAATTAAAGAAACACGGTTCATATTAGATATTATTCTAATGAATTTCCGTAAATGCTACTACATAGCTAAGAGCGCAGATGCAGGGAAGCTCCACCATCCAGGAATACATATGTCAACACAATTGACGCATCAGGTATCATTGATCTTTATTACCAGTAATCAGAAAGGTAAAAGAGAAGCCGATCATCGTACCTGGCAAAGGCTGAAGAGGAGAGTAATGTTGCAGTTGATGCCTTCGCGCTTCAATTGTTTGGCAGCCTGAATCCCTTCCCAAGTCGCAGCTACCTTGATAAGAATGCGGTCTTTGTCAATCCCCTTGGACTTATACAACGCGATGATTCTCTTCGCACGATTTACAGACTCTGAAGAGTAGAAGAATAGCAAGGATTATTCAAAGAGAAAAAAATGCATTTCTATTTCTCAGTGAGTAGAAGCACGAGCAGAAACTTATAAAAGTCAAAGTATTGGCAAACAAAATATCTGCTACTGCATTTGTGAGAGAGTGAATTTTATGAAGTGAACATCGCCACCAGAACAACATGTAGTATCACCTGTGAGAAAGAAAATGCACAACATACCGCTTTCTGCAGCACACTTCGAAACTAAGTGAAACTGTTAGCTATCTAGGGTGCAAGCTCTCAAAGCAAATTCAATAAAAATCCTCATTTTCACACATGACAAGCGTAAGCGCTTGCTAAAAAAATGCTAGTCCTTTTTGGCTTTAATATCCTATTTGCATAGGTCTCATTTTTAGACATACACATGCTTGCGAAAGTCAAAATCATACGGCGAAACGTACGCAAAAGACTGAGGTGGAAAATGCTCACTTAAACATGCTCCAACTAGAAATAGACAGTGTCAATCCTGGAATCTGGCCAGAGGGCCTTTATAGGGGAATGCTGGGTAGGCTCATCGAGGTCCTTATTGGGACAGCCTTAGGTCCGTACCTTCTTGATCGAAGGATAAATCAGCGGGTATTTCAGTGCTGACAAGTCCAGGAATAATATCAAGCAACTCGAGGCCGAATCCAACGAGAACTCGGTCCACTGCTTCCTCTACAGTCTGTTCAAAGCAATACACACATAAACCAGTACCACTTGCGTTCATTTAAAACCTTTATTCTTTCATTCATTTCCATCGGCGGTTTTAAGCAATATTCCTCTGGCAAAAAACGCAGCGTCGAAGTTAGTGCAGCTAGTATTCTATACTACTTCAGGTACACATGCAACGAGCCTGCATCACCTCATCCACAGATTTTCCCTTGGTTGCCTCCTGTGCCTCCTTTATTGCCTTCTCTAACACGTGTTTGTATTTGGGGTCTTTCACCGCCTGGAGAACGAGTGTTGGGTTTGTGGTGGCATCAGTTGGATTGAATTCCTTGATTGCCTCGAAGTCCGCCGTGTCCGCGACTATGGTTGACAGCTTTGCCAGCTTTTCTAACGTGCTGACGCCACTGCTATTCGTATCGTTACCGCTGGCGCTAGTTTTCTCATTTGTGCGGGGTACCTTCTGCGAGGGGCCCAAGGCCGGAGAGCCCCCGGAGCCCCTGCGTTTGGCTGTCTTCGTGTTTGGCATTTCCTGCACGCAGTGGCAAGTAGTAGCGATTGCATGCAAAGTAACCAGCCAGAAGACGTGTGCTGTTGTGTTTCACGATGCCCTATATGTGGCAATGATTCAGAGGAGTGCTCAAAGAAGAGGCCTAGAGGCACTCAACAAAGGGAACAAGAGGAAGTGGAACCGTGGCAGTGCCACTGACCGGCAGCAAGGACTGCAAACCAAGCTTAGTGGGAGAATAACCTGTAAATATGTCGGCAGTTTCAAGAGCATCAATGAACTAATAAACTGGCGAATAGAAAAGATCACATGCACTCGGTTCCTATCGCTGCAAGGCAGACAGTTTGGCAGCAGCAGCAGCACCAGTCTCTGATTGTGGAAGAAGCTGCACACGACAGGACCCTCCTCTCGTGCCACACACCAGTGTGTTATTTAATTTCGGCATGAGATATTTAGCCTAAAGTGCGGAATTGTGCAAAATAACAGTTGGGAGGGGCAGAAAAGGCGGGTGCTCGTGCGCATGGCCATAGAAACTGCGGCCAGTTTACTGGTAGTCCGCGCTGAATGTAGAAAGGAAAAACGAACTTCCCACCACCTCTACAAAAGGCGTCCTGTGTAGGCCATGATACTACTATTGGATAGATCGCAGTGTCTTTTCTACTTTTGGATGAAGTGTAACCGAAAGCAACAACTAGGCATCCGTCTTTGTTGATGATAATACAAAAATGCTTTCGTGTAAGAAGGTCTACTTCCATCCTTCCTGTGCAATGTTTTTCGGATTTAAATATATCGGCACTCTTTTTAAATACGAAAAGTAACTTTCGTGTGGCTTTTAAGCATATTTGTGTAGCAACATATCTAATGCAGGATGTGCGTGCAGCACAGCACCCCTACTGAGCGCCTTGTCCGCCGATACACAACGACATGGCGCATGGAGGTTCGTGGCTGCACCATCGCATTGTTTCGCGTTCCACCGACAAATAATTCCTGGGTAAGACAATAGCCTTTATTAATTGCTGTCAACTTCTACAGGTATTCTCCATTATCTTCCAACATGGCGTTTTCTCTTCCCCCTCTGCCCTATACGGAGGAGGCGCTGGAGCCACATATCAGCAAGGAAACCCTCGAGTTTCACCATGGGAAGCACCATGCGGCATATGTAAATAACCTGAACAGTAAGGCTCCTTCTGCACTCACCAACTGTTCCCCCATAATCGGTGCACACACTCAGGAGTTTTAACATGGGTTGCAGCCTGTTTGGTTACGCACCTACTCCTCCCTTCTCTTGCTCATTCAGTAAGCTGTGTGCAGCACATTTAATTTTTTGCTCACATGTGGACACTAAACTTCTGTTATACGCACGCAGAGCTGGTACAGGGCAAGGAGGATGAGAAAAAGAGTCTGGAAGGTAAACACAAAGCTAATAGCTGATTTTTAAAGGATAAGATTGTGAACAGCCTTTCGGTAAACCCTTAAAAGCCGAACTGCTGAATTTGATGCCTGTTAACTTGTCAACACTTGCCTGGCTTACCCCGCCCAGGGACGGGGATCTTCCATTCCCCACTAGTGATTTGATACGTTTCTAGTCCCCGTTTGTTTCCTGTTGCATTTCTACAGAGTTAATTCGCACAGCTGCTGGTGGCATATTTAACAACGCGGCGCAGGCTTGGAACCATGCTTTTTATTGGAAGTCTATGAAGCCAGGCGGAGGCGGTCCCCCTACTGGCCCTATAGCCTCGAAGATAGACGAAGCCTTTGGCAATTTTGACCAGTTCAGGGAACAGTTTTCAGCAGCTGCTGCAGGGCATTTCGGTTCTGGATGGGTTTGGTTGTGTTACTGCAAAAGCAAGCAAAAAGCTGTCATTTGCCAGACTCACGATGCAGGCAATCCTATGAGAGAAGCAGAGGGATGCGTACCCCTTCTCACATGTGATGTGTGGGAACATGCGTATTACATTGACAGAAGAAACGACCGAGCCAGCTATGTGAAAGGTTAGTCATTCCGTGGTGCTTATTTGTGTGATGGATCGATCCTGTATCATGAGGCTTTCTTTCTTTGCTGCAGATCGTTGTTGGCTGTTCCCATGTGTGTGATTGTTCTTGTGTGTTTGTCCATTTTGTGAAACTTGGGAGGAATGGTGGGGGAGTGGCCCTAGTTAGAAGCATACGCGACAAGTGGATCTACTCATTATGTAGAGTAATCCTATATTTGGCATTAAATACTGGTGACCATGGATATTATACTCTGTGGACGTTGCCACACAAAATGCTTTATTGTGCCTGTCTGTGCTGTAAACTGTCTGGCTTTTTGTGGCTGGAGGACTGCCTTAACCGATAGACTTCCATATTCTCGTATTTGTTTAAATGCAGCGTATGACACAGCATGTTCTATTTATATACAATTGTTTTTCATGTGGTGTTAGTTGTACGGCCTGTAGTATTTGCTTGCGTGTTTTATCTGCGCAGCGTGGTGGTCGTTGGTTAACTGGGACTTTGCAAACGAAAACTTGAAGAAGGCAACCGAGTAAAATTCTGATTCTGCAAAACAGCGAAGAGAGATAATGTGTTGCAGACTAGCCAATATGCGTGCACTGGGCCAAGAATGAAACTACGAAAGGACAACAGGCTGTCTGTCTCGGAATTGAAACACAAAAAGGGATTTGTGTGAAATTACTTTTGGCAGGCAAAGCTGTGCCATATGCGCTGATTGAACAGTCGCTTTGTCCAAAAAAAGAGACGCATGCAATCTCTTTTTCATCCTTTATATGCTAGCCTGCTACAATCTTTTGCCATGCAAGTGAACTGAAGTAGACTGGGTGCGGCAGCGGCTGGCGTCGGGGCAGGTGCTTGCCGCGGCGGTACAACTTCCTGGCGCAATCCCTCATTGGTTAGGATTTTGTATCCGGTTTTTTGATAGTTAGCTAACTGTGAAACAAACTGTTACGCAAACTAATTATTGGCCTTGTGGATATATGGCCTTTTTTGACGCCAACCCAACACTACAGAAACTTTTGAGCTTCTCTCTAGAATGATCAGCCTCCGCGGCAGTCGGCATAGCCACCAATGAAACTATTGCAGAATGCATGTACCGCGAAATCCTCCAAATACCTAGTAGTTCTTTCTAGAACCCGCCCTCAGCAGTTTATATACACTCCTCAAGGACTCATTATGCAGCATTAAAGGAGGCTGTCTCTGCAGTCATCCCCAGTACTTGAAATTTTAGTGTAGAAGAGGACCACCTGAGGGCCACGCCTTGCGTTGTCTCCGGTGTTGTACATTTCTGTATTCTTTACTACGTGCCTCGGGTCACGGTACACGCAGCAGTTAGCTATAGAGCTAGCTCGCCACGGCCATGCGAACGAAAAGCACCACTGAGGACGAATACAACCACGGTATGTGCACGCAGTACCAACAGAGCGGCTACCCGCGGGCACAAGGCTGACGGTCAGTCCAACCTACTTGCAGCGTCATTCGCTTTTGGCGCCGCTATTACATTGCTCGGGGCAGCTGCCGAGAGCATACCATCGCTACACACGACTGACAGTCACCGCCAACAGCAGCACCGCACAAGGGCAAAACTGTCGGGAGCGAAACCGTCCCTGATACTCCAGTAAATTTTTCTGGCCTAAAGTTTAGTAGCGCAACCAGTAAGTGGCACGTCGGATGTCGATCAGCTGTGGCATTCCATGAAGAGGGCCCATGGCACTGACGGCAACTTCCTGCAACCATCACAGCCCACAACGGCGAATGCACGAGAATGCAGTTCTGCAGCTCTGAGCGCCCTTTGCTGTTCCTGTTGTTAAGACTCTTCTTAGGTTCTGGATATGCTGGTGAGTCCGGCAGTCCATCGGTTGGTCCTTGCGATGGATTGCAGAAGCTCACCCGGTCGTGCAAATACTTCCATGCCACCCTTTTTATTTCATCTGCGTCAATGGCATTCAGCCGTGTCAGGAACTCTGCAGTCGGAATGTGCCGTCCGTACACCCTGCGAAACAGATATTCGCATCTTCGCGCTAAAGAGCTTTAGAATCAGTGGAAGGAGCAGGCTACTTGCCTCAACAACAAAAGTGTCGCACGACTACTAGTTGGGCTGAGCGAACAATAAACTGATGACTTTACTTTAAAATATAGGCACTTAATTTTAACAGTACACAAAGAAAGGGATGACAAAAACTGTTTACCTCTCCAAGCATCAGGAAGTGGGAACTAGGCACAGATGAAGAAAGCAAAAACTCACAGGATCTGTCTCCCGAGATCTTCAGCAACGGCAGTCGTCGAATCCAAGTGTCCCAATAATTGTGTCTGCAGCCACAACAAATGACACCCAAGCCTTCCTATAGCATGACAAAGCATTTTGGCAGGTTCTCCACATGAAGAGTATCTCCCCGCGTAGAAGTGTCTCTTCTCCCGTCACACGTAATTTGAGCCAACAGTTGAAGGGGAAACTTACCGTCAGCTGCGCCTTCGCCCTCTCTACTTCCTCATCCGTCACCTGTAGCTCGACAATACACGTGCACAAGGGAAAGCAGGAATGGGCACAAATAGAAGGAGACAGTAGTAAAGGGATAAGCAATGATCGCATGACACACACCAAGGAAAACGAGTTTTGGAGCATGAGGCTCTCTTCAATGATGAGTTTTCCCTAGTACAGCCTAGCATCCGCTAGCCGTGCGCAATTTCGCTAATGCGCCGGTGTTTCTAGTAACACTTCTACGGACTATTCTCTCCTTTTCCCAGTAGCACTGAATCGCCACACCATAGCCTAAATAAATGAAGAATGAAGCAAAGAATTTCAAGAAAGCGATATATATGTACACATGAGGAGAAAGAAAGCACGAAGCTCACGCTATAAGAGAGAGATGTGATCCCGTGCATAAGCTCCAGGACACAATGCTCAACTGCGACTTCGTCACATTGGGCATAAAACCCGAAGAGTCCGGTGTCTCTATAGCACGTGTTGAAGGCCGAGAACATCTCTGCGCAGCCAGTTTGCATCTTTGTGGAGATATTACGAATAGTGGAGTTGGCGCTAAGCTTCCCAGGGACGATTCCTTCGTCGTGCTTCCTGTAGCTACCGATGATTGACTGCATCAGCATGAAAGCCACACAGTCTGAACGAAGCAAAACAAAAGCAGCAGGAAGGAGCATACATTAACACTGAATGGGAAGGGAGCACAAATACACAGGCGAGAACATGCAAGACATATTTCATGATGGCATTGGTTTGCCCTTCTCTTCAATTTGACGATGGTTAGCACTGGAAGTACACACGATGCACTCTGAACAGTGCGTGCCGAATGAAACGCTAGAAAACCCCCAGAATTAGCTCAAGCTGAGTGTCCTTGCCGCCAGTGTATTAACACCTATAAATCCCTGGTCAAGCCGGTCAATATTTGAAGAGGAGTTGCATTGCAAAAGAGCAATTCAGCATATTTCAAGAGCTCGGGACCACAACAAAGGGCAGGGAAACACGAATGTCCACTTGCCTGGGGATTTCCAAGGCACACCTTCAAACCCAACGGCAACATGGGCAATCGGTCCCATGTCATCATCTCTGTAGATGAGTTCTGATCCACAGAAAAACGGCTTTTCGTCTGGCACCACAATGCTTTGCTTTTTGGCGACGGGAACATTAGCAAAATACTTCTGCACGTGTTCAACAAGCTCCTTGTGGTTGATGTCGCCTGCTGCGGCCACGACCATGCGGTTTCCGGTATAGTTACGGAAAATGTAGTCGACTATATCCTCCCTTTTCATATTTTGAATGTTTTCAGCAGATCCCAAGATCGTAAAACCCAGAGGACTATCACGAAACGCCTGCAGGCGAAGACAGCAACTTTACATACGTGCCCATACTATTTCATCTTACTCCTAGCGCATGTTAATGCCGTGTTCATACCAGCGCTTAACCTTTTACCCCAAAAGAAGGAAAGACATAGCGGCAGGCATGCAGCTGTGTGGGATATTGCCGCCCTAAAGCGTGAAAGAATGCAGCGAAAAAGCAGCCGATACACCACTTGGCACAGTCAAAGATTCCAGAACATCATGCACTACAAACTGAGTTGCTACACAATCCACCACTATTTTGATAGCTATATTTAAAAACTTCGCTCAGCAAGCTTCTTAATGAAGGACGCACGAACCGCATGTCAGAAAGTGCATCATAACGCACAACAGTTAAGAACACTACGCCCCAAAACACTGTAAAATATCAAATTTCTTACCGTCATGTGGAGACGATCAAAAATGACTTCTTCTGTTTGTTTCTCCACTTCTTCCATTTCCCTCAAGATTACTCTCTTCTCTACCTCCATAGCCTCCGGGTCCATGGTGGAGTTCAGCAGGATGTCAGACAAGATGTCTAGACACTGAGACAGATCCTTTTTGAATGCCTTCGCGTAATAGCTGCGTGATCAAAAACAAAAAGCTTGGAGAACTACTGAAGGGCAGGACATTAAGCAAAACGAAAAAAAGCCTCTACGCACGACCAAACAACGGCATCTGCACGAACTAGGCAGCTCTCCTGGTATAAACTGCGGAGTTGTTTAGAAATATTCGATACTATGGCTCGGGATTCGCAATCGAGGGTACCAGAGAAGCGCAGCAGGCAGTAACACCTTAAAATCATCCAATACAACAAGCAAGCGGGGGCACATGCAACCAAAGCACACAAGTGCGGACGCGAATTACTTCACGTTAAGAGGGGAGAACCTTGAGTTGAGAAATGACAGCTAAAGAGGCTTCAGGCACGACGATATAAGCAAAAGACGGGGTGAAGGCAAACTGCATATGTGGTTGCATCGCCAGCGGGGGCACACTATTTAGACAATGGGGTAGACTCGCAGCGAAAAAAAGGCAGTATCAGATGATCCAGGCACCAATATACAAGGGAGGCTTGTGGTTGAAAATCTAGGAGACATACACCGTCTGTTCGCGGGAGGTGTATGCGTTTAGATGAGCCCCCATGTTTTCAATTTCTTGCTCCAGCTGAATGCGTGATCTCCTCTTCGTGCCCTGAAGAAACACACCAGATACAAAGAAATTCCAGTATCTAAACAGCAACGCGCAGTTACGAAAACACACATACATTGAACACTTGTCCACTTGCTGCAAAGGGTTGAGCTAAAAGCTCAATAGCTCATTGAATAAGAAAGTATGCGTGCCTTGAATGCCATATGTTCCAGAAAGTGTGCAGCGCCATTAGTGCTCTTCCTATCAAATCTGCTGCCGCTGTCAATCCAAACCCCAGCAGTTATTGTGTCAGAGAACGGAAGGCGCTGAGAAGCCACGCGGATCCCGTTTGGCAGTTCGGTCAGCTCTGAAGAAAAGAGCACACGAGCATATATCGATTTTAGTGCCAAGTTATGAGTCTGCTATTGATGATGCAGCACGTATTGTTACAGCTGGAGTTATTACAGATTCCATATCCAGGGTGTTGTGAACAGACACTAGCACGCTGCTCCCCTGCTATCCTCGTCTCCTTCGAGCTAAGAACGCTTCAAATGTAGTCACACAAGGTCATCTGAAAAAAATCATAAATTAGATATCTGATTCCCTGTGAGATGCAGCTGCTGCATGTGAGTGCCGACCTGCTGATGGCTGGTTGAAAGCGGAGAGCGGGACAGACCCCTTCCTCTCAGCTACAGCAGCAGCACGAATGTCTCCAATAGCAGCAGCTGGCGCCCTCTGCGCTGCCGCAGCAGCGAGAGATGTAAAGGGGGAACGGCTGCAACTGGAGAGGCGGCCACTGCTTCTTCGCAGAGCAGCAACGGCAGAGTACCCCAAGCGGCGGGTAGCCGCAGCCGTGGCGGCGTACATTGTGACTAGGTGGAAGTAGAAAAGGTGCTTTAGTAAGAGTTCCTAAAAGCTTAGTTGTAGCGGAGAGGCTACTGCCGCTGCTGTGCATGCAGCGGGTCGAGGGGTTCCGTGTGTACGGAGAAAAAAAGGTGACCGCCCGTCGACTTGCGAAGGAGATGATAGAAAAAAGGTTAGTTCAAATACTCCAAGGCGCGGTGCATTCAAACGGTAGTTGCGGGACCACACGAACACGGAACCCCTGCAGCCGCGGCTGCTGCAGGGAGAGCCCCATTACAAACGGGGATATATTGCCACTGCCTTTCCGAATGGGGTGTAGCGCAGGTAAGATCATTGGGTTTCCAAACTTATTGAGCGAGAATCATGAGATAGTGTCGTATATGCGAGGAAGGTGCTCCGGGTGCATTGCATTACTGCAGCTCCGGTGCACCCCCCACTAAACCGTAAAATTGCTTTTGTATTGGCTTGCTGGTATCCGCTTTTGCGTTTGAATCTGTACTCATGTGGGATCCTTGTCTCTCCTTTCCACATCGGAGGCAAAAGTCTCAGTTCGTCCGGTGTTACGAACTGATAACAACTGAACGTATTGCATTGGCGAGGGGACACTTACGCGGAAATAAAGCATAATTCGCGTAGATAATGCGTTGTGTTGTGCTGAAAAGAGGCTAGTAGCTTCTTCAGTGCCCTTAAAGTAAGGTTTTCTCCACTTCATTGCAGATCAGGATCCATGTAGCGGTAGGCGCCATGCTCAACCACTTTCTACTACACTAGTTATCTTTAACGAGCATTTGTAAAGAACTACCTAATTGATTTGTTGGTTCGTATATCTTGCTTGCTGAAAGTGCTAAAGTATTATTTTGTAGAAAACCAGTTGCAGAGCCACTAAAGTTGAAGGCCTACTTAGAGCCGTGTTCTCTTCTTGCGCTGCTAAGCCGGTCGCATAAAGACTTTGCCTCACCATATTGAAGCTCAAACTCCACCCATCCCATAATACACGAAGTGATTGCTGTAAAGGAGACCACAAGCTGCTTCTTCATAGCGCCTTCTAGCACGCTAACCTCTACAGCGCGCAGCTGTGGTTGCATGCGCACTTCCGATTGGGATAGCCATATCATACATTCGACTACCCCATGCTGCACGGGGCCAATATTAAAGTCACCCAACCATGCACATAGGACTCGATGTTGACTTGAAGTGGCATTAAGGTGCGCCACCTGTGTTTGTGAGTACTTGCACTGCCGCCCGTCAGCGGACCCAAATCCCAGGGGCCTCGCTGAAAAGCGAATCAGCAGATTACGGCTCTGCGTAACGGCCTAATGTACCAACATCCACTATTCAGTGTAAAGTCACGCCAGCAATTCTTGCCAACTGATGTTGATCGTATTAGGGCACAATTTACCCACGGTAGATATCCAACCGCGCCCTGCCCTTAGTAGTCCTCTTGATTTCGCCACCGGTTGCACAGAGGCTTTTCGTCTTCTTCTTGTACCTTCTATGCTCACTGTTCAGCCTGTAGCCGCCCGGACCGAGTCTCGCTGTTGGAGTTTTCTGATTTTTTGCATACGGCGGTAGCTCAGGACATGTAGCCCAACTACCCACATTTGCCGGTGCATTGTTTAGAGGCTCTCTGCGCTCCCCTAGGAGCCCACAGGTTCCATCCGACGGTCTGTTTTCGTTCACCGTATATTGTAGGCTAGGGCCAGCTGACACAGTCCCAAAATCCATAGGGGTCTAAATCTAGACTTGGCTATTGCTTTAAAGCCAAAGGCGCATGACGCTCATTTGCTCCTAAAACCTCAAGTATTCCATCTTTTGTGGAAGCCCCACCAGGCGCTTCTATACTCCCTGAGTCATTGCTCATCCTGCGACCCCGTGACAGGCCACTTCAGTAGACCCGAGATAAAGCAAGTAAAGCAACTTCTCATCCACGTTGTGGCTGTTGGTGACCAACGATTGACATATCTGGATATTCCACCACTGCCAATATATCGACAGATGCCTCTGCGTAGAATTGCCCATTTCCTCGAAGCTTGCTGTTGAGCTGCTGTCGGGGAAGGCTTGAACTGTAGTTACTCTTGCAGGCAGACGAATTCGTCCACATGAATAGAGCCACCACTAAAGCGTTCCGCCATTGAATAGACATGCCACAAGGAGCACTCGCTTCTCTTCATCTGAAGATACAAAGCGCAGTATATCTCCAACCAGCTCATGAAATGTTCAACTGCTCACCCCTTTTTCTAGACGCTCTCGCACTTTTCTGGTTGACATACCCTCATATACTCATCCATAAACGTTTTGTTTGCTCAAAATTCAACCCTCTCTAGTAGTAGTGGAGCTGCTGTGTCCACATCAGCTTGCACGCCTGCCTCTGCCTCCCCAACATGCACTGTGGGACCAGCTTCCTACATACCTAGAGGGCTTTTCCCCAGCTTGTTTTCAAAATGTAGATTGCGTAACTACCCAATGAATCGATCGAGATCAAACAAGTGTTGTAGGAAAAATTGACTTCTCATTGCACCCACAGCTAATGGAAGTGCAGGGAACAGCTCTACCGTGCCACGCGGTCACCAATTGTGACGCCTTCTCTAGGGTCTTTGTAGGAAAACACGTAACTCTAGACTTTATATGAATTCATTGAAGATAGAAGCGATTCTCCTTGAGACTACTTCCTCTACTAACCCGCGTCCCAAAGAGTTCTCGATAAGGAGACAGGGGCAGCTAGGGTACGCGTAACTATCCACTTTAAGAATGCGGTGCGTTCATGGCTGGCTGCATATCGCCTCAAGAGTACACCCACACAACCTTACGTCTTCTTGTATCGAGCTAAGAGTAATCTACGGGAAGCAAGATATACGAGCCGAAAAACCAGCTTGTCAATCCTTTATAGGTTCTTAGCTTAACATACCTAGTGCAGAATAAAGTGGTTAAGTATAGCTTTGCCCGCTGCTGTCCATGCCCCCGCCGTTGGTTTGGAAACTCGCGGGGCGGGGGCAAGGGAAAGAAATAATTTCTTTGAGAAGCAATACATAACTTTGTAGTTAATTCATATCGAGTCTGGAGTCAAGTGCTGCCGTATTGAAACAGATGGAAAGTATCGCAGCGGGCCAGGTGGGTGGGTAACAGCTTCAAGTGAAGCTGCCTACGCGATAGCAGGCTCTCAAGCTTTAGAAGTGAGTGCAAGTCGCCAAATGGATGCCCCTATTACTTTTATGAGTGTGTTGGGCCGCTGGGCGAATAGCTGCCGTGAGCTGTTACGCGGAAAGCCTTCATGTCATCGCATGAAGTGCCCTATCTGCATGTGTCCCATGTGTAGGAAACTATATAACCCTTCCAATCCGAGGTTGAGCACATCTTAATTATGTACACAACAAGCGGTTCTGGTATTTCTCCGAGTTCGGTACGTACCTGCGGATATGTGCAGCAGCAGTTCGGCAGCAAGAACAATGGTGAAAGCATCATCACCCTCTGCATAAAATATTCTGGTAATTTTAAAGTAATAACAAGACTGATTTCTTTATTGGGGTCCCCATGGGAAGAATGGTATTGTTGGTTGCTGGTCTGCTACTGGAGCAGTCCTGATACAGCAGTGCTGCTGCAGCTGCTGCTGCTGCTGCATGCACACAAAAGCTAATGAAGTTTTCTGCTTATTCTACTGAAAATTATTACAGAAATCAATGGCAGGAACAACTGATAGATGCTCATGTAGGAAACGAATGGCTCCCAATAAACCCCAGCCCAGTGGTCTCGCCTGCAGTACAGCAGCATTATGGATATTGCGGTATTTTCTTTTTTGCATTCACCCAGTTTGCACCGCTTCATTCAACAGCACTTGCCCTGGTTCCTTTATAGGTGGTAGAAACTGCCCTTCTTGTTGACGCATGCATCCCCCATTCCTTGTTGTGTGGCCCTGAAACGCACAAAGAACACTGTTCACGATAAGTACCAAGGGCATATAACCAAAGGAACAGAGAGGCTGCGTGCAACCACAGGGGCCCCTGCCATCGCGTCTATCTTCGCTGTCACTTTTCGAAGGTGCACGCAGAACTCACAACCTCAGATGCGAACCACCGGTCTACGGAAGGGTAGAAAAGCAGCCCAAATATTCATTCTGCATTTCCTCCGGTAGATGACACTAGAAAGCTGAGCGCCTGCTCTTGCTGCATTCCTCAGCTTGGGCCATTGCCGGCTGCATCTAGAAAAGCCGGCATTAGAGCTTCATACTTTGTATTTCACCTGTCTTGGGCGACCAGGATCTTCGTGTGGCCTCAAGATGACGTCCATCTTCTCAAAGGTGTGTTTAAGATCGAGTCACCCTATTTGTAGACATCCTTGTGCAACGTTGTTCAGCGTTCAAGGTTTTCGCAGTATGACTTTTGGTTTTGACGGTTTTGTGTAATTAGGTGTCAGAGCAGTATGGCGAGCTGGTCAACTTCATCATTCGGCCTCCCCGCGACACCTACTCGGACGCAGATTTGGGGCCATCGACTTTTTTAATGGCTGGCAGGCAATACAAACGCACAGGCAGGTGTACCGACACTGCAGGGACCCCACAACACGTACAGTGAATGGCATGAATGGATGGAATTGACGATTTCGGGCTCAACGTCAAGTCTTTGCCAACCCATGACCTAGGTATATGGGGGTTTGCCGTTGGTTTTCAGATCTGGAGCTTATCAACAGGAGAAGCATGCGACTTCAGTGCAGCCATTTTGAGCCGGTTTTGCCGTGCGCTGCTTTGAATCCGTTCCACAGATCTTAATCCGTGGCACAGTGTGCACATTTCCAGGGAGTAATATTATCGCCTTTGATTCGATAGACTGCAATAAGCTTTGCGTTGTTTCCTTTCTTGGTAGATTCATCGAGGATTGGGGTTGTTCGCTGTTTCTTGCAGCCCCGGGAAGCGCAAAAAGCTACCTTGTGTGATTTACCTGCACGGTAATTGTTCTTCTCGGATAGAAGCAAGTACGGCCTGATTGCGGAGCTTAAACCTCCTAAAGTCGCTGCTGGGTCTTCCCGTGTGTTGCTTTACCTCTTTTCGGTGAAAATGGCTTGAATAGTTCTGTCGTATTCGAGTCCTTGTGTGTGAAAGCGAGAGTGCACATGTGATGTGTTTGATTTTGCGGTGCCTCTGCAGTGTCAGCCCTGCCAGTGCTGCTGCCTCAGAATATAACCGTGTTTGCTTTTGACTTTTCTGGCAGCGGCAGATCGGACGGCCCGTATATATCTCTAGGTGCATCGAATTTCAGGTCTTGTAGCCTGTGCTGTAGGTGCCCTACTTCATCAGTATCACGACGCCGCTGCGGCATTAGGCTTTAGGGTCTAAAACAATAAGTGCTAGAAGCCGTGCCCACACAGGGCCTTCTTTCCCCCTTTCCAAGCACCAAGGTTTAGTGTCTCTGCGGGATGGAGTCGCTGTTTCTTTCAGGTTGGTGGGAACGAGACGACCTAGACACGGTAATCGAGCATTTGCGGTCCTTGGGTACGGTCTCCTCTGTTGGGCTTTGGGGCCGGAGTATGGGTGCCGTGACGGCGCTGATGCATGCGCACAGAGATCCTTCGATAGGCGGAATGGTACGTTGAAGTCGAGGACTTGATTCGCGCTTTTCGAGGCCTGCACCGCACGGACGATGCCGTCTCTAATCGCCTGTTGTATGCATTTGCCTTGTGCAATTCACGGCTGTGCGTATATTGGTACTGCGTGTACATATGTGTAGGCGTATGCGGGTACCCGTGGTGGTATGGTGGTAGATGGGTTTTGCACATTTCATCCCCCTTTCGCACCTCTTTGGGTCTTCTTTTATGGGTGGGGTGGCATTAAGAGGGTTGGTGGGGTGGGGGGCAGGACGCACACACGAAGGAAGCCGTTGGCGAGTGCTGCCCGCCACTCTTTACAGGTGTTGGACTCTCCGTTTGCCGCCTTGAGGAGACTGGCTGAGGAGCTCTCGAGCGTTGTCATGCAATTCAATGTGCCCAAATTTGTCCTCTCCATCCTCTTATCCCTGGTTAGACAGGCCCCCATGTATTCGCAGTAGCGGAAAGAGCAGAGTTCGCAGCAGTAGGCTTTCCCAATGGCTGCACGCGCATGGCAGCATGCACTGCGCTGCCTGCCCAACAGCCGCTGAGAGGCACATGCAGGAGAACGAAGAAGAACACCCATATGTGCACTTATACATACATAGACACATTACACGAGCCAGCGAGCGCGGGGAAATCGGGGGTTGGGGGTGGGGGAGACCAATGGAGGGAGAACAGACTCAAGGGTAGAGGCGTTGCATTAAATTCATCAGTTACGCAGCTTGGTGCAAGCAGTAAGAGACAGAGGCAAGGGGACAACACAGGAAAAGGGCGGTTTATTTGGCGCTGTCAGGTGCGGAGCTCGATCTTGAGTAAGGCCCAGTTCGATATCAACGTAATCGCCCCCATCGATAACTTGGCCGAGGCATATATTCCTGGTATGTATTCTGCGTTCCTTGGTAACAGTACTCATGGATTTTAGTGCGCGTTACAGCGTAGGTCCCCACAGCTTCTTCAGTTGCACTCATCATGTGGCTTAAAATGCCTTGATGGCATGGAGTCTGGGGGCCCCCCCCTGTGTTGGCTCCACGCTTTAGAACTTTGGGAACATGCTGAGATCGTTGAAAACTCCCTATCTTGTATCCTACTGGACCTTGCAGCAGAGTGTCTATTGTGGCTTGGGGGGGCGCTGTACGCTGAAGAGTTGGTATTTCAGGGTGTGAGGGCCGCTCCTTGGGGTCTGAGGCTGTGGAATCTGTGCAGCCTTGTTTGTATATGGCCGGGAGGACAACTTCATATCCCCACAACACGTGAAGGACCTGTATGCGGCATACAGAGGCGACAAGAACATTATAGATGTACGGCGCCCATGCTAGGCCTAGTGTGCTCTTGCCGCCTGTGCTTCCTTGTCGACACGCTGTCTAGATTCGACCCTCCGACATAGAAGCGGATCGGTCAGGCGTTCCCGTGTGCGTTGGTCAGGTTGAGGGAGGCCACAACTCGCCCCGTCCTGCTTTCATGCTGCACTCCGCCGCGATATTCTTTCGCAATACGCTGGATCCTCTGGCGCTCTCGAGAGCAGGTCGGGAAAGAACCGGCGAGACGAGGGATCTCAGCGAGGATGTAGAAGGCAGCAGAGGCAGCCCCTGCAATGCACCAGTGATCCCTGTCCATCCGTTTGACGACGAAGCATGGCAGAAACATGCAGCAGCGGCAGCAGTGGCCGCCACTCCTGGTGCCGCAGCGGCACCTGCAGCTGCCGCATCTGCGGCTGGATCCACGCACCTGCCTGGGAGCCAGCAGCAGAAACAGCAGCAAGCATTATCCACGCACGTTCCAGCAGCACAATCAAAGGTTTTCGCAAGAAGTAGGAAGCTGCAGCGCGTGCTTCGCGGCCTTTCGTAGCGGTCCCCCTCTTCCAGTTTTTGTCGGGCAATATATGAGCTGACGAGTTGCTATAGGCAGGGAGCCATCTGCATGCGAACCCTTTGCGCAGCTTCTATTTTCTCCCCCTAAAACACAGATAGGGGGATAGGCAGAGCCGACACAATGCAACCTAAACACGCAAGGCCTGGCTGGGGCTTGAGGCTTCGAAGCGGGAAGAGCATGCACATAGGCAGTTGGATGCATGTGCCTGCATAGGAAAATCTGTCTCCGTGCAGGAAGCTACGTTGGCACGGTTGTGGCGACGTTTTTTACAATGTGTAGAAGCACCCTCTTTGGTTCGATGTTTCGTGTGCAGCAAGGTCAGGTTTGTCCAGTCGCTCCAGCAGCAGCAGCGGGAGCGGACAGCCCCCCTGGCTTGGCGGCAGCAGCACCCATAGTGCCAATGACGGCAGCAGCAGCAGCAACCAGGCCGAAGCACAGCCTGGTAGCGGAGGTCCTTCGCGATCTGTGCTTTCTCGTAGCTTCTTGCGCTGGGGTACAGGAAAAGGCCGCCAGCAGTCCGCTGCGCAAGCGGCTGCTGGAAGCACTGACAGCAGCAGCAGCGCAGTCGTGACTGCGAACAGCGGGCAAGGAGCGGAACGCCAGCGGAATGATGAGGGCCTCAATTCTGCTCCACAGGGAGCGACTGCAGCAGGCGATGCTGCAACAGGCTCACAGGCAGATGCAGTGAAGAGCATGGCACCGCCTGAACCATCATTTCGATTTTTCAATAATGAAGATGGAATGGAGACAACAGCCTTTATTGAGGATGTGAGCACTCCAAACCGTGCCTAGGTGGCTCTCAGCTGATCATAGTGACTTGGGGGCATTGAGGCCCAGAGTTTGGCTTCTGATCTGTGGAGTCTTTTTTGGGGGTGTTCTGCAGGAAGACGATATTTTGCAGCGCGCAATTTCGATATCTCTGGAAGAATTTATCAGGGAGCAGCAACAGCAACTGCGGAAGGCCGCTGACCCCAACGCGAAACCGTAGAGTCAACGAAATGGAGTAGCCTGAAGAGCGTAGCATTTTTTACAGGTGATGCCCAACGGTCCAGAGAGTGGAGGGCCCCATTCGCAGCGTGAAGCTCCGGTAGAAGGTGATTGCATATGTACATGGTGTCAATACATTTATCGCCTTATTTGAAGTGAGCTGCAAGTAAACCGACTCTGATAGCACCAACCGAGCGGACAGTCGGGCCCACAGCGAGCTGACTAGCTTTCTGGGTAGCTATGCACGCTAGCACCTAGCCAACTTGTTCGACAGCCGCGCATGTGATTTAGTACAGTCCGCATAGCGAAAAGTTGAACTCGGCGGGCCATAACGCAAGCGCGCTGCATGTGGGTTGGTCTGTTGCCTGAAGTCCGGTTTGCTGCGATCTAGCAAAGCACAGGTGCCTGTAGGCATGGCTAGTACCACAGGTAGTTGCCATAGTGAGGATGCAGCTGTCTCCATATTGTTGGAGCTCCTTTTTGCTGCTATTTTCTTACAACTCGTTTGGCTTTGCTCAACGTCTCTGGACGTACCGGACGAGAGCCATTACAGTCCGAGGGTGTGGGGTCTGGATTCAGCAGGACCTCGACGCAGAGCCTCTTAAAACCCCGCCACTTCCACCCATAGTGTTTTTCTGTGTGCTCAAGCGCAAATGTACGGTAGAAGAAAATGATCAAAGTAGTTTCTTAAAAGAAAAAAATTTCGTGGGCCGCATAAAAGGCACTGGGGGTATTACCAATTTGGAAGAAAGGCACCACTATATTTGGTGTTGAAATTATTTAGGACCCTTACATCTGATGCCGAAAAGTATAGGGCGGGTGTGGTAGCTCTCCTGCTTGTCCAAAAGCTTTTCTTACTCCAAGGGGTGCTCCATCGCGAAATACATATAGTCCGGCACTTTTACTTGATTTGCGTGGTGTGCTTTCCAATAAGCAAAAGGTTACGCACATGTATGTGGGGCGGCCCAATAGTGTGGGGAGAGGTCCATGTGAAAGAACTCCAAGCTCAGGGCATAATTCAAGGTATGGCAGATGCGCAGGACAAGTCAACACACCCGGGCAATGTGCGCCGCCATTGGCATAGCGAGGTGGCGCGCCTCGTCCGTACTGGAGTCATGGTTAGCCCTCTTAGAATCAGCCGCGTTGGCGGACTGTGCGAATTCTTATTGGGCCTTTTGCACAGTCGGCGTAGACTTTCAACAGCTGGAGAGCTGCAATTCGCAGAACCCCCTCTACAAGAGGTATCCTGCAACGTTGGGGAGACCAACGGTGGCTCAGTAAAGGTGGAGCGGGTCCCCTTACAAGGTGTTACGTACTTCCATCAAGGCCCAGTGCACCTGTGGCGTTGGGGTCGCTAAAGGGGGGAGGTTTTCTATTGAGATTATTTCTAAATATTTCCTTGAGGTTTTGTAGGATTCTGTTGCCGAAGGCATCTCAACGGAACGCATACGAAGTGCAATGCACTAGTAGGGATGTATGAAACTGTCGTCATAGGCATCATGATTACATCGTAACGAGACTGTTCATGAGTCTACAAGCCTGACCTACACCCTCACTCTTCGTTGGGGCATTTACATCTATATACGCTGACCCCTAATGTCCCGTGTGGAGTGAAATGCTAAGGTACCCGAAACACACACTTACAATAATACGGCAAGCTGCAGCTGGCGAGAGCCGTTCAGACACATAGTAGATACCACGCATGTCAAGCGCATGCACAGTGCTGGTTTGCCATTCTACATGCTGCGCACAGCCTGCGGATAGCTGGTGGCTCCCTCCGATTTGCTGCGCCTTTCACAATCTAGCAATGTTCGTGATGCTTGCACCGAATCGACCAGATATTTTACAGCATGCTATCAGGGGTTGACATGTGGTGTTAGACTGAGAGAGCACAGCAAGTGCCCCGGCTATCGCAAGTTGCTACCCAGTATCACTACTGGGGAACATTCTGCTACCAGATACTCAGGGTTTGGAAGCTTTTGAATCAAATACTGCTTAAGTTGACATATACTTCACACGATGCAAGGTTTGCTCAGCGCAAAAACGCAATATGCAGCTTCGCGGGCACTTAGCCGCAGCTTCTTGACTGCAAACAAAACACCTCTGTAGCTGGTGCCGAACGGCCAGAAAATGGTGCATGGAGGACGCCAGGGAGGGTCGAGCATCACCAACAACACAAAATTGCGACAATACGGGGAATAAGAAGAGGAAGAAATACTCCAGGATGCCTTTGGGCTCAACCGCCCAGCATGCTTGGGGCTATGACGCTGCGGGAAGCGGCGTGTGTGGATGGATTTCCACGGGGATGGACTGCATGCCGGTTTCTCTTTTAAGAAAGCTAGAAAGACTTCGGCGTTCTCTCACTTAGCCTCTCTGATGTGTTCTTACACCTCAATCCACAAGAGACCGGGCGTTCTAGCCAGCTGACCTTCGGGGGCTCTGTTGCGCATTTCTTGCTATTCCAAGCTTTTCGCCTTGTTTACTCTCTGATAATACAGAGGAGTTCATTTAGCATGCGCACTGAGGGCCTCTGCACCCTCTGGAGCTGCAGAATGCACAAGGGATTCGGCACGGCTCGACGCCTCGAACCCTGATCTTGAAGACGAAGTATTGGGAGCCATACCAACGTCGACGTGGAGGAAATGGAGGGAACGACTGTCATTATCGACAACGGATCGGGTACGCTTTTTCCTGTCATTCTTTTTGCGCTGTTGTTGTGTCGAGGCCTCGTATCTCGAACTCGTGTGTGTGGATGGCCTAAATTCAGAGTGGAATATGTTGAATGACGTGCATCCACTCTGCACGACTCAGCCTCAGAAAGCAGTTCGCTTTTGTGGAGGGGTGCGAGATGACTGGGGTTGAGGCTTTGGGGGTCCGCTTATCTGCTGTTGTTTTGTTGCGCCTGATGGGATCCTACGGATGCGGTTTTGAAGTGTACAGTGAAAAACATGGCCATTTACGTTGTGGCTAGGGTTTTTGCTGTGGGGATTTGGGAGGTGGCTGGCCGCAGATATGCTTTATTGGGTAAAAGATTGAAAGTGGTGTTGTTCCTGCAAGTATCGGCTGGTGATTTCCACCTCCTGGACCTTCTGCAGGCGCTACACCTGGCTGTCTTGCGTTCTGTGCATATGGTGGCAGAGAGGGGGTCAGACTGCGCCTCCGATTTGCGACAGCCGCGGGGGTTTAGGGTTTGTGTGTATGCCCGTATGCTGCTCGAGACTGTTTCACGTGTGGCGTGCGGTGCGGTCGTGTACGGCGAATATGCGCATGATTTTGTGTCATCCTGGTGTCTGTTCTGGTGTCGATCTTGAGACTCACCTCGTATTTGCGAAAATCGTTGCCTTCCAGCGCGTCAGCTTCCCCCTGCCTCCTTCCTGCATTACAGGGTCTCTTGCGCCCGCACAAATGGCTGTCAATCTGCCGGGTGCAGCCAACTTGCAGCGAGGTTTTGCATCTGCATGCGCATGCATGCGCAGGATACATCAAGGCCGGCACAAATACGGAGGATCTGCCGTCTATCTTTTTTCCCACGGTAGTCGGGGTCCCCCGCCGCCGTTTCGCCGAGCAGTACAAGGACAAGCCCATAAACGAGCGCGTTTTCGTGGGAGAGCATGCAATTGCAAACAGACATCACCTCACTATCAACAACCCCATTGACCATGGGCATATTGATGACTGGGAGCAGGTAAGCTGCAACGGGAGGGGCCCCCTCGAAAGGGGCTTGGGGTTTATTTAGGAAGCGAGCATGCCACAACTGGGGAACGTACTTGTGGGTTTAGATGATGGGAGGGAATGACGGATAAGACGGCGCATGAGATCCTAAAATTTGGTATTCAGGTTTCATGGCTTACACTCTCGCGAGAGTTCTTCCTTGTGCCTGCCTAGAAGCCAGAATTTTCTGCACTTTCTAAATGCCACGTCCTTCGGCGCTTTGTCTGCGCTTGCAAGGCTTGCTTGTCTGTGTCTGTTTGTCTGTCTGTCTGTCTCTCACTCTGAGTATCTGTCACTGCCTGAGCCTGTGCGTGCGGGGTTTCTTGCAGATGATGTTTGTGTGGCAGCACGTTTACGACACGCTGGGAATCGAACCGTCCACCTCTCCAGCACTAATAACGGAGCCCCCAAACTGCTCAGTCTCCCATAGGAACCGCCTGGCAGAGCACTTTCTTGAAAGCTTCCAAGTTCCCGAGCTCAATCTTTCCGTCACAGGGCTGATGGCCATCTACGGGTGCGTGAGTCTTACTTCATGGCCGTCTCAGTGGCGGGGTCTTCTGTAGATCTGCCTGTGTATTCGTATCCATGCGCATTCCTCAGCGCTTTTATCTTTCTCCCCGTCCAAAACTTTCTGCGTCGTAGCGGTTTCCACCGGCAGCACTTCTTTGCAATCGCCCTTCGTTGTCTGCCGCTGCTCCCGATGCAGCTAACTAAGCAGCTAGCTCGCCCGTGGCTTCTCGCTGCTAGAGCGGCTTGTCGTAACTGAGCAGGGTGAGGTCTAAGGCGGGGAGCGTGTTTGTTTGAGTGCGACGCAGCACTGGGAAGACCACGGGCTTGGTGGTGGATATTGGGGAGGGCGTAACGCAGTGCGTCCCTGTTTTCGACGGTGAGCATCTTCAGTTTTTTTTCAGGGTCTAGTTTTGAGAACTGGAAGAGGGCAGTGGATGGCAAATGCACATGTGGGGGCCTGGGGGATACACGGATCGAGCCGTCCACCAGTGCGAAGGGGCTGTTCACACGGAGACGTCTGGAGCTTTCACCTTGCTCACAGGGTACCTCGAGGCCTCCTCCTTGAAGCGGAGCGACTTCGGGGGAGAGGAGCTACAGATGTATTTGCAAAAGATTCTATGTGACATGGGATATGCCATGACAACCCGGGACGACTTTGTGAGTTCTTTGGGAATGCGGAGCCCTCATTGCACCGTATATAAACGGTCATGAGACTTTAATGCGCAGAGCGAATTTTCACAGTATGATATGCAATCCGATTTCCCAAAGCCTCTCGTTTCTCTGGATGAGGCAAGCATGTGCATGCATGTGCGGTATTCATCCTGTGTAGGGCCTCTCTGCATGGGCACGCTTTCTCCGTCGCTTCTTGTGGCCGCGCTGCATGCAGCCGAGTAGAGTTGCTTTTTCACGCATGCATGGATCCTTGTGGTGTGCGTATGTAGGCATGCATGTTTGCAGGTATGTTGTGTTTGCAGGAACACGTTCGCGTCATCAAGGAAACCCTCTGCTTCTGCTCCCTCGACCCCGCGTGTACGTCCACCTCAAACGATTGCCTCTGGTGCTAGCGTAGCTCTGTTTTCCATCTAGGATAAGGCGCGTCCTTCCACGGCGGAGCATTGTGCTTTGGGACGTGTGGTATTTCTGCAGCGGAGCAGCAGAGAACGGATCTGGAGAAGTCGTATCACTTGCCTGACGGCCTGACTCTCCGAGACGGCGAAACCACGTATGTACACCCCGTGTTCTGAGCCTTGATTGTTGAATTTTTTTTGGGGGGGGGGGCGGCGGCCGCATTATACGCTGGACTGTGCTTCCTGTAGATCATTCTTTTTCGCTTGATTCTCTCTAACCCTCAGCTAGCCCGCCCTCAAGCTCCCAGATCCTTTATTCGTGCCTGCGAGGTGTTGAGAGGTTTTCTGCAATACGTTTGGCCCAGGCAGAACCATTTACGCTTGGGGGTGTCTCTACGGCGTGTGCTGCAGGGAAGTGACTCTGGGCCCTGAACGCTTTTACCCAGCGGAAGCTCTTTTTAATCCCCAGCTATGTGGCAGAGATAATCCGTCTCTTACTGACCTCGTCTGGTCCTCAGTCAGGGTTCGTTTCTCCTATCTCTCTAAAAGCGCAGCAGATCCTTCCCGTGAACGCCTCTACACCACACCGCCTTGCTGTGGCGTGCTCCCCTCGTTGTTCTGCAATCGTTTCATCTTCTCGGAAGCCCTAGAGCCTTGGGCCTGCTGTGCTTTCCTCGCGGATACTCTTATGGGCTGCTCCTGGATGAGGGGATCACCACCGCTCTGCCGCCACACCAGAGCCTTAGTCTTTTAAAACAGTCGGGCTGGACAGGACGCGATTTCGCCTTTCGCTCACTTTCTGCTTCTTCTGCTCTTTCTCCTGCTGGTGCGTTGCAGGCATGCCCCATAGAGAGCCGGAAGAGCCTCGTGGCGAATGTCGTCCTTTGCGGCGGCTCTTCGATGTTCTCAGGATTTCCCGAGCGGTAGCTTGCCATGGCGCCATTCACACTAGGAGTTGGCTTCTGCAGCTCTTGCGTGGCAAAATACCTAGCGCCTCCTTGAGCTGCAACTTCTCAGATGTCCAGCAAGCAACCCCGCGGACGGCTGCAGGCTGTGTGTGTAAATATGTAGGTTTGAGGCCTTTCGTTTGCTTTGTTGCGGTCTCAGTATGGAGCTGGAGCTGAAAAACACCTCTCCTCCCCAGGCACGGTCCATCGTGCATGTGGATGCCCCTCCAAATAGGCAGTTCCTTGTATGGCAGGGAGCCCGCTGCTTTTGTGATCCTTCCATGAGGCCCATGCAGGTGAGAGAAAGGTTCCCGTGCCAGAAGCGAGGCATTCGTGGGAAAATGTCTGCATGCATACGAAGCGTGCAGAGCAGTCACTAGTAGAGGGTGCTTGAATGCGCATCATATGAGTCACGCAGTTGTGCGCCCGTATGCCCGCCGAAGCAGCCCTCCTATGAATTGGAGATGGGTGCGTTTGTACATATGTGCAAATGCATCCATGGATTCTTTGTGCCACTACATTGTATCAGGATCACTTGTGGATCAGCAAGGCTGAGTGGGAGGAAGTCGGACCGAGGATTGTTCTCCAAAAGGTTGGTTCTATGAAGGCGTCTTTCTATTAGAAACCTCCACAGTCTGCGAGCCCCTGTTTAGAGAGGGATGCAAAAATATATGTAATTAGTGTATGCATCTATGCGTGCATGTGCTCTATGTGCTTTGTTGTGTCGATCGGGTGTGTTCATACATGAGCATTTTATGACGTTTTCATCGTGAAGTCTCCAGAAGTCCGGTTAAGCATACATGCCATGCTGTAGTTGTTTGTAAAACCGGCATGGCTGCGAGAATGCATGTGTGCATATTTTTTAATCTACGAGTGTATCTATTGCGCACTGCACGTGCTCTGTGAAGGGTCTTTGTGTACCTTGCTCCGTATGCGGCTTTTGTAGGCGGCAATCAAGGGTTAGTAGGCCCATTGCTGTATCAGTTATCCTAGAGAGGTTCTAGGCCGTCGCAGCCTCTGTCTTCACTTTGCGCTGCATGCGCCCGGAAGGCTAACTTTAATTGTTGGCTGCATCTTCTCGGGGTAGCGCCTCCATGGCTATCACAGATAGCATCAGCTGCGCATTTTCAGAGACCCTGCCTTTGAGTTAATACACTGCCGGGATTTACAGAGATACACCGTAGTATGCGGCCTTACCCCCTAACTACATTTGCTGGAATCGCTGGAGCAGATGCAGCACTTCATATCTGAATGCCACACCCATCGACTAGCTGCAGTAGCCAGTTACGGTACAGCGTGTAATTACATCGTCTCCTCTCCTAGCTTTGTATGTACATGTACGCTCGAGTACTGAAATTTAGTCGAATGGAACCGGTAGAAAAGAGGGTGTGCTTTTTCTTACTTGAGACAGAAAAAAACATGGATGAGCCAGCCCGTAAGAGTGTACCATACAGGAAACGATTGGCCCATCCTCTCTATACGTGGGCATAGTCATGCTTCATAGCTATATCTTCCATCCTCTGTATCTCTGAAACACCTAGCTGCTGGTGCTCACATGCTGGGTCTTCTCTTGTCTAAACATCGCTTACTGCATCTCTGTATCATCTCTTTTTCTGCTCCATCATCTTTACCCAGCGTTATGCACTGCTTGCTGAGGGCTTCTGTGCATCCCGTTAGAACGTATGGATCCACGTGGGTTGTGGCGGGCGACGCTACGCGAGGCACTTTCCATTACGCTAAGTAAATTTAACTAGTCGTAAAAAATCGACTAGTTAGGTTATCTATTGGTTTTAATTCTTTGTTGCAGAGTACTGCTACCTTGATACCCTACAGCGCAATGTTCTCTGTTTGTCCCTTGGATATTACGGGGAAGTAGCTGTTGATGCTCGGATTGGTTAGGCGGTACAGAAACGCGCGCTGCAGCCATCCCTCTTTCCTCATGTCAAGTACTCTGAGGGTTGCGGTCAGAGAAAGGGAGGAGTCTTAGTTGAGGAGCACTTAAGACTTTCTGTCAGCTTCGTATCGAGTCTGGCACGGTCTCTAAGCAGAGACTTCCAGTAGTCCACACCAAGTAATATATACGAGCAGCAAAATAATGGCTCCGCTGCTGATTCCTTTTAGGCTAGATGTAGCATATATCAGAGAAAGCGATTTGTGTAGCTTGGCACGGTAGTGTGTGTATGTGTGTGCACATCATGCCTGTCATTCCAATATTTGGGTGATCAGTGTCCTTAAAGTAAGCCAACGCTCGCCCACCGCATTTGGGTAATGTTACTGATAATGTGTGTTCCTCCGTTTACTGTGCAGAGCTGTTCTTTTGCTCCAGAGTGTGGCTGGTAGAATACTCTTAGGTGGCCTGCCTGTTTGCTTTTGAGGCGCGTGCTTGCCCCCAGTTCATGGGCCCTCTCAGTTTACCTGTGTGGCTACTTAATTACCATTTGGAGGGTGAGCTTGGTTCGAGGAACGCAGGCAATGGTATTCAGACAGGGCAGTGCGAGCGGTGCATGCAGCTGCGGCGGCCTCTAGATAAGGGGTTTCCCCGAGGCTGCCAAAGCAGTTCCCTGTAGACAATTAAAGCGAGATTTTAGGGTTTTATTTTACGCGTACAATTTGCGAAGAAAGGAGGCCTCTTGAGCCTGTCCCGCCAAGAAGGCACATGTGTGAGGTTCCGAGGCCCCTGGGGGCCCCCATAAGAGCGCAGCTGCTGCTGTCGGTTTCGCAGCCGAGCAGCTGTCTCTCAGCTGTTGTTTTATAGAGCCACCACGTCCACAGCAGCGGCTGTGACAGGGGGCTCAGAGCTTAATAGCCGAATCCACGTGTGCAGAGGTGCCTCTCCCTCGAAGCGGCCACACCAGCAGCAACTGAGGAGCGGGGAAGCGTGGCACCGCCGTTCTCTTTGCATGGAGCGGGGAGATGGCGTTGTCTGCTTCGTCTTCGCGCAGCAGCAAGGGCCCCCGGGGGGCCCCGAAGACTGCGCATGCAGAGGAAACGTCTCCGCGGGTAATACGACTCGAGGCTGACTGCCTTGCCCAGAGAGATAAGGTGTTGGCGGAGAGCTGCTGCATCTGCCTGCAACGCGAGTCTTCGGCGAACGCACTTGCCGCCACTGCGGGAGTCGCTGCAGCCATAGTGGTGTGCAGCACCTGCGGGGCATGCGCACACGACACCTGCCTTGGTCCTGCATACTGCACTCCTTTGCAGCCAGCAGCAGAATCTGGAAGCACAGAGGCAGCGATCTCTCCGCGAGAGCGGCGACGCGCCGGTAGAGGGGTCACAGCCGCTTCGGCAGCAGCGGTCACCCCTGCCGTGCAGGGGGCCCTCTTAAGGGATTTCCAGTGCGATGCATGCAAAGTGGTGGCTGCCGCTAAGCCTCAAAACAACACCAGTAACAGCGACGGCGACGCCAAGGGGGGCGACGGTGTTGCTCTCGCTGCCTCCGCGTTGAGGGCAGCGCAGCGCTGTGCCTTATGCGGCAGCAGCGCAGGTTTGCTGGAGTTCGCACAGGCAGACAGCAGCGCCCTCCTAGCTCATCGAGGCTGCCTGCTGTACTCAGGCATACATACTCCAGCTGCTTCTCTGACGCCTGCCTGTAGCCTTCGGAAGCAAATGAGGTTGCAGCAGGCGCTGTTGCTCGCCGACTGCAGGAGTTTCTTGTGCTGCATTTGCGGGAGGGGGTCCTCGAGCAAAGGGGCACCAGGTGGCTATGCTGCAGCATGCAGCTTTCCTGGCTGCAAGTTGCGTCTCCATGCGACTTGTGCGTTCTCCTTGGGTGGCAGTACACAGCAGCGGCTGCTGGTGCCTGTGCAGCAGAAGCTGAAGCAGGAGGACTGTGAGCACGTGGTGCAAACAGCCGCGCCAGACACACCCTGTCCAGCGTCCTCCTACGACTGCTGCAGCAGCAACAGCAGCGAAACAGAATCGCTCAACAGTGCGACGTCGGGAGGAGGCACTGCCCTCTATATCGCGGACGGCGATTTCGCACTGCAGCCGCAAGCGCACAAGTTGCAGCCATCGCAGCAAGCCGTGTATATCTGGCGTGGGCTGCTCTGTCCGCAGCACGCTCATGCAGGAGCTGCCGCTGCTGCTCGCGATGCAGCTGTGCAGCGTCTCTGCGGAGCTGCCCAAAGGCGGCTCGCTGCGGCTGTAGCTGCTGCGCTTGCCGAGGAGGAGCAGCCTGTGGCATCCGTGGGAGCAGCCGCAGCTGCTGCTGCCCTTCCCAAAGCAGGAGCTGCGACGGCTGCCGCTACACCACAGGCTTTCGATGGCATGCCTGCAGCAGGAGCTGCGGCGTGCACATCGCCTTGCGAATCTGCTGCCTCGTGGGCAGCTGCTGCTTCTCCTGACTCCAGCCATGTTAGCAGCTCTGCTGCTGCCGCAGCCCCCTCTTGCGCCGCTGCAGCCGCTGCTGCAGTCGCAGACGCGGGAGTCTGTGCTGCAGGGCAGCTCAAGGCTGCGGATGGCAGTTGTGGAGACGTGAAGGCCAGTGTTCAAGGAGCATCTGCTGCAGGTTCCTCCTCCCCAGCCTCCTCAGCAGCAGCAGACGCAGGCGAAGCCGCCAACACCAATGTGCATGCAGCGGCAGTCAGAGGCCTCTCCTTGCAATGGTCCCGCTTCGATTCGCGTTTCAAGCGACTGTCTATTGGGGTGTATGCGCAGCAGCTGCAGCAGCAGCTGATGCAGTGCCTTCCTTCCGCCGACGCCACAAAAGCAGCGGCAGAGGCGCAGCTGCTGCAGCGCATCCTCTTCGACCCCATGGACTGCCGACCCACCTTTGCCGCAGTCGCCGCTGCTTGTCTTTCGACAAGTAGCGACGCAGCAGGAGCAGCAGGAGCAGCAGGAGCAGCAGGAGCAGCAGGAGCAGCACGAGTAGCAGCCGCTGCTGCCTCGGTGGTGGAAGGGCAGGCAGCAGCAGCAGCAGCGCCTTCGACGCTTTGCTTCTTCTCGAGCAGCCTGGGGGTGTCATCCGTTGCAGCAGCAGCAGCACCAACGGCAGCAGGCGGAGGCAAGGCGCAGAAGTATCGCGTGCTAAATGGGGAGAGCAGCAGCAGCAGCAGCTGCAACAAGACCCCTGCGATTCCTCCCACACAGCAGCAACTCGCTACTGCTGCAGGAAGCTCCCCCCTAGGCATTCTGCTCCGACTTCACCCTGGACTCCCCCCCCCAGGAGAGTGCCGTGTGCTGCAGCGCATTGCAGCTGCATACTGCAACGCGAGTGCGGGCAGCTCTCCCTGTGAAACAAGATTAAAATTGCCACCGCAGCTGCAGCACTTGCTGCAGACGATTGACGATTTCCTGACCTCTCGTGTTGCGGCACTGCCTTCTGCAGCCTCTCCTCCTGCTTTGATGGAAGAGGCCTCCGAGGCAGCAGCAGCAGCTGCAGCAGGTGCAGCAGCAGCAGGTGCAGCAGGTGCAGCAGCAGCAGGTGCAGCAGCAGCAGCTGCACCGAAAACTGTCACACCGGAAGCCGAGGGCGCTCTGCCTGCCGTCGCAGTGCAGCGGGCAGCGAAGGCTAAAAAACGGAAGCTCCCAAATGTTCCCCCGACGCAGAGCAGCAGCAGCAGCAGCAGCAGCAGCAGCAGCAGCAGCAGCAATTTGAGCCCTGCAGCGGCTGCAGATGGTGCAGCACCTCGAAACAGCAAACGTCGCCGTCAGACTCCGAGCGGCGAGCTCGATGAGCAGCAGCAGCAGCAGCAGCAAACTGCGCAGGGGGCGGGTGCAGCGGCGTTTTCTGGAGGAGGCGATCCAGGGAGCTTTGCTACTGGACGGGCAGGAGAGGGAAGCGAGGCTGCAGCAGGAGAGAGAGCAGTTGTGCTGCTGGACTGGGGGTTCTCGCAGGCTTGCGCGACGGTGCGCTGCCGAAGAGGGAACTCGGAGGCAGGCTTGCTCGAAAGGGCTGCAAGACTGGCAGAAGAGAGAGAAATGATAGATGCATATGCCGCGAGCGCAGCAGTAAGCAAAGAATCTGCTTCCATGCAGGCGGTAGTGCGGGTTTACGATGCGCTATTGCGGCAGGACGAGAAGAGGCTCCAACAGCAACAGCAGCAGCAGCAAAAACAGCAGCAGCAGCAAACTGCGGGTGCAGCAGCAGACGTGCCCATGATGGGCACTGCCACAGCATCGTCATCTGCCGCGGCGTACGAGGAGCCGATCGACATCGAAGTGGAGTCCATTGAAGCTATCAGCAAGTACGTTGCCGCCTTCCTAAGGCGGAGGGCGGCAACATACTCCCACGAGGGAGGCAGCAGCGCGAGCAGCCGTGGGCTGTCCGTAGACTTCATGAGCATGAAGACTGTAGGGGATCTCGTGAAGGAGACGCAGGTTGAGGGGGATGGTGCTCAGCAGCAGCGCAAGCAGAAGCAGGAAATGCAGGAGGTCTGCGCCTCGCTGAGCGCAGCGTCGCCTTCCCCCGCTGCGGATCCCGCCGCTGGAGCCGCAGCAGCAGCACGGGGGGCTGGGGGTGCAGCCGCTGTATCTACACCCGAAGCTGCTCTTGGCAACTCTCGCGGAGTCGGAGGGAGCAGCAGCAAAGGAGCCTTAGCACTGACAGTTGCAGGGGTGTTGAGTCCTCCTGCTGCTGCTGGGAGCGCCACTGCTCCCGCGAGCAGCAGGGGAACAGTGCAGCTAGCTGGCTTGTTGTTGCTGCCTGCCGAGACTGCGTCTGCTGCTGCTGCGGCGGCGGTAGAGCAGGGGATCGTTGGGGGAGGCTTAGCGCCTGCGGACGTCGAAGCGCTGCTGCCGCACGGTGATAGCATGGACTTGGTGGCGGCGAATCACGCCGCAACCGCATGCGGCGCCCTGGTGCTGCAGGAGCAGCTGACTGAGCACCGCGCATTGCTGCTGGATAGATTGGAGCAGCAGTGCCTCCTCACTCCCTTCAGACTCGTGGAAAGGCCGGCGGAAGAAGCCAAACTGCTGCTCCGTTATTTTGCCAGCGCGCGTTGGGGTCACCTTGTGGAGTGTCTGATCCGAGGGCACCGAGATCTGTGTTGTTTTTCGTGCAGCGGCGACTGCACGCCGAGCAAGCCGTGTAGCAGCAGCAGCAGCAACGGCAGCGGCGGCGGAGGCACTGGCAGCAGCGCGGCGGCGGCATCCGCCTCCACACACGCGAGTAGGCCTCCTGGCAACACCAAGCGCGTTGGTCAGCGTCCCTCTGCTGCAGGGGCGGCGGCTGCGACAGGAGGGGGAGGAGCAGCAGCGGCAGCAGCAGCAGCGGCAGCGGCTGAGGGGACTGGACGCAGCACCAACCGCAGCAGCCAGACGCAGCAGCAGATCAGCAGCGAGGGGGCTCAGGGAGGGAGTGTTGGACCCTCGAGCGACATTGACGGTCTTGGCGAGAGCGGCGCTTGTTGCTGCGTTTGCTGGGGATCCAGCTGCAGCCCTCTGAATCGCATGTTGCGGTGCAATTGCTGCCAGGTGGTTGTACATCGCCACTGCTATTGTTCGATCCCGTTCAGTGCGGCGCATCCTAGAGGCGCAGCTCCCGCCGCGGCAGCAGCCCCGAGCGCTGAGGGTTGGCTCTGCATGCGCTGCGACTGGGAAAAACGCCTCGTTGGTCTTCAGCAGCAGCGCAGCAGCTTCAGCCTCTCGACGGCTGTCTGCTGCGTCTGTGGGCGCAAAGGAGGGGCGTTCAAAAGGGCCATCTCGCTGCGTCGCGCTCGATGTCTGCAGCTTCACCCGCCGCATCAGCAGGGGGCTCCCGGAGGCGTGTGGGACGCTGAAGCCGCCGCAAAGAGCGACAGCGTGGAAATGCTGCACCTCCAGTGCGCGCTGTGGCTGCTACCTGCCGCCAAGTGCTTCGACGTTCTGCGGCTAGAGCCGTGGTGTCTCTCCGAAATTCCGACTGCTGCCGAAGCCCTGCAGCAGCGGAAGGCTTCTTTGAGCCGGCAAGAAGGTGTTATGGAGCGCCACGAAGGGGACGATTGCGGAAAGGAGGGCGTCTCTCCCGTGCGGTGGCTGAGAGAGGGCCTTGTCTGCTGGTCGGAAGCCCCCACTGCGCTCTGCTGTATTTGTCTGGTGGATGTGGGGGTCGTCCGGGGATGTGCATGCGATGGCTGCCTCACATTCTTTCATCCCTATTGTGCATGGCTGAACGGCTTCTTCGTGAGAGTGCGCAACAGCGCAAGGCCTTTCTCCTCTTGCGAGCAGCAGCAGCAGCAGCTGCACCCCCCGCACCAACAGAAGCAGGGGGGGGGAGGGGGCTCTGTCGTGGATGCCGATGAGGAGCAGAGCACTGCGGCGGGGGAGATTGAAGGCTTCGACTCTAAAGGCCTTAGCGGCACCTCCCACAACAATGCCGCCAACAGTATGAAGCGCATCGGACTCACAGCCGATGCCTTGCTGCAGCAGGTTGCCATCGAAATCTTCTGCCCGCAGCACACGCCTGCATATGCAGCTCACAGGTATGCCACTCGACCGCTTGGCCTCGATACTGTGTGGCTTCTGCGTGCATGCACGCGCCACTATTTACCCTTTTGTAACTTCCGCGCCGCCCTCATTTATCGTGGCTCCCGCCCCCCTCTGAATTGCGCGTTTGGTTCCGCTGTTGTTTCTGCCCGCATGCGCGATTCCAAGCACCCAGTGCATGCTGTGGCACCTCCAGGAATCCCCAAGGTGTGTGAATGGTCGTATGCTGCTGCGCCTTCCCATCCCTCCCCTCTCTGCTGATGCTTGTGTTCTCCTGCAGACAGCAAGCGCAGCAGCAGAGAATCCGTGAGGAGCGAGCGGCGCTCTCGGGGGGCCTCACTCTCTGCAAGCCACCGTATGGAGCAACTCCCAGCGAGCAGCCAGCTGCTGCTGCTGCAGTAGCGGAGGCGGGCAGCAGCAGCAGTGCCAAGCGGAGCGGCAGCAGCAGCAGCAGCAGCAGCAGCAGTAAGAACAAGTCTGGAAACAGCAGCCATCCCGAGCAGCGCCGCGCGGAGGCTGAGTCAGCAGCAGCAACGGCCTCCGGTATGACGCCAGCAGCAACAGCGTCGCAGGCTGCAGTGACTGATCACAAGAGCGCCTCTGCAGCTCTAGATACGCCACATGCCGAGGTGGCCATCGAGGAAGATCTTTATGGCGATGACATCTGCGCTGTTTGCACGCGCGTATGCCTCTGCGTTCGAATATCCAGCGCGCTGCTGACACCCCGCCTGTCTAAGGGTTATTTGCTGGCTTGTGTCGTATTGTGGCAGTGCTGTTCAGCCGTTCCTTGTAACCCGCATCTGAGCGTCTGCAGATGTCAGGAGGGTGTGATGCGGTGCCGCTTTCTGCATGCAGGACGCTAATGAGAGCGCAAGCCTCGAGTGTTGCGTCGGATGCGGTATCTGCGTACATCTCGACTGCTACGGAGGCTTCTCCTTGGGCGAGTCGGGTACAGGAGGCGACGACGCCCCCCGTCGTCGCTTCCTGTGTGACCCCTGCCTTTGGGGTGTCAATCCGAAACGGGTAGGAAGAATGCGAACGGCGTCGTCTGCGCTCCCTAATGGCCTCCTCCCGCCTGCCTCCTTTGCAAGCGTTCCTTTCATGTTTCAAGGGCACATTTCTACCCCATGCATGAGCGCGCGCGCAAATGTGTGTGTAATGTGTGTAATGTGTGTGTGTGTGTAATGTGTGTGTAATGTGTGTAATGTGTGTGTAATGTGTGTAATGTGTGTGTGTGTGTAATGTGTGTAATGTGTGTGTGTGTGTGTAATGTGTGTGTAATGTGTGTGTAATGTGTGTGTGTGTAATGTGTGTGTAATGTGTGTGTGTGTGTAATGTGTGTGCATGCAGGTAACCTGTCTGCTGTGTCCTCGTCGGGGGGGCGCCTTCAAGGCTGCCCAGCCGTTTGCTGCGAGTGCAGCCTTCTGGCGTACAGCGCAGGACTTTCGAGTGTATCTACAGCAGCAGCAGCAGCAGCAGCAGCAGGGCTTGTGTATGATGCCTGGTGCGGGAGCGGGGTGGCGTTCGGGAGGAGCCTTTTCTCCATCTTTCGTGCATGCCTTTTGCGCCCTGGTTTCGCCTTCTCCACCCGTAAAGATTGCGCATACACCCGAGCTTTCTCCGGTGTGGGGTTGCGACTTGCTGGCTGCTGCACTGGGGGTCGTGGATGCATGCGATGCAGCCGTAGCAGCAGCAGCAGCTTCTGGTGCCGGAGCCGGTGCTGCGCTGGCCCTTCGTGGCAGCCGCAGCACCAGAAATTTCTGCTGTATCTGCAACAGGCGAGGCGGGCTGCTCTTCCGCTGCTGCTGCCGTCTGACGACAGCCACAGCCCCCTCCACGGCAGCAGCGGAGGCGGCTGCCTGGGTGCAGCAGCTAGCGCTCCTCACGCACTCCGCTGCAGAGGGGGGGCAGCTAGCTGCGGAGGGGCCTGCCGTTGCACGAGCCCTTGAAGCCGCCCAAAGAGACAGCGCCTACTGCAAAAAGCGCATGCACCCCCTCTGTGCACTGCTTTGCGGAGCACGCGTTTGTTTTAGCAGCTGCGGAGAAGCCACTATAGGAGACCCCGCCGAGCCATTGTTCTTCTGCCCGGAGGTATACACGGTGCCAGTGCTGCTGTCACTGCTGCTCTTTCTGCGTTGCTGTGTGCCGTTTCTGCGAAGAGGAGCGTTCACGCTTGCAGAGCAGGGATTTTAATAGCGACACGGGAAGGCCCCACTTGCATCTATCTTTGGGTGCTTGTGGTGTGTACGCAGCACTCCAATATGCTGGGGGAAGTCACCGCTCAAGAGCACCAGATTCTCCATATCTACCGCCAGATGCAGCAGGTACCCTTCATGGCTCTTTTGCTGTTGATGTTGCCAACCATGCAGCTTCCTGCCGGCAGAGCCCTCGAGTTGCTGAGTTGTACTTGCTGCTTGTTGTTGCGTCCAATGCAAAGTTCGCTCCTGCCTCCATGTGCCCGCCGTGCGCGCTCCCGCTGCTGGTGTACGGCTGTCTGCTGCAGCGGCTGTTACTGATTCAAGAGCGACAAATGATCGAGCACTCCAAGTTGCAGCTGCTGCAGCAGGCTCGGCGCCTGAGCGCGCAACTGGAGAAGGTGCCCCTCGAATCAGGAGAGGGGCAGCAGCAGCAGGTGCAGCTCATGCAGCAGCTTCTGCGACGCTTTTCTGGCCAGGAAACGCCACAGAATCTGCATCAAATGATAGCGCCTCTGCAGCAGCAGCGGTTGCTTTTGGCCAGTGGAGCCGACCAGCAGCAGCAGCAGCTGGTGCTCCAGCGCATGCTGTCGATGTCAGGAGTGCAACAGCAGTCACACTTGCTGCAGCAGCAGCAGCAGTTGCTGCTGCTGCAACAACAGCAGCAACAGCAACAGCAGCAGCAGCAACAGATGATGTTCATGATGGCACAAGGCTTGGACCAGCACCTACAGCAGCAGCAGCAGCTGCTTATGCACTGTCCAACGAAGCCCCCAATAGCGGTACCATCACAGCTGCAACAACAACAGAAGACGCCTCGCCCAAAGGCTAGAAAGGAGTCTAGGCGAGCTCCCCGCAAAGCGGCAAAGGAAACAGGGCAGCAGCAGCAGCAAAATCAGCTACTACCGCTGCACCACGGAACGCAGGAGCCGGAGGCACTCCAGTCTGTGGATACACTGCAAGGATCGGAGACGCCCCAAGATCAGCAGCAGCAACTACAACCCAATCCTGCTACACAGGATGGACTTCCTCTCTTGCTCCAGGATACTCCTGGAATGCTGTAAAATCGGAGGCAGCGGCGACAGGTCTAGCTGAGCCACAGCTGTACTCCGACTTGCAGCGGCAGCCTTGAAAGATGGGCTGCTCTCTTGTGGGTGCAGGCTGCTGTCTCAGCTATGCTGTGATTGGAAAAGCGGCGGCTGCTGCTATCCCCACGTCTCGCGCTTGTAAAGAAGGCCAGAATACGGCTAGTTTTGGATACTGATGCATACCAACACATGGAGTCTCTGTGTGCATGCATGTCTGTTTTAACGGAGCAAGTAGTATACGCAGTGCATTCGGGTGAGCGGCGGCCACCACACATAAACACGCGGACTCTCCCTTTGCCACACTGGTCAACGACGAGATGACTGACTCTCGCACATAGCTAGCTGCATTGGTAGGCGGTTAGCTGATTGGCTGGGCTGAAGCGTGAACAGCAAATATTTCGTTCCTCTTTTAATTCATACTGCTGCAGAGTTCTGCAGAGCGTTCGCACGTGAGATGCCTGCTAGCCTTGATTCTTGCTTACCCGGCCTAAGCCAGCCACCCCAGACGACCCAGGTGTAGCCAGAACATGTAATAAAAATGTCGTTTCGGATAAGTTCATTATTTGTACACATGCGTACGATTCACATCCGAAAAGCATGCTAATAACAGAAGTCGTGAGCACTCAACATTTGCCTCCTGCATCTGCTTCCCAGGAGGAAATTTTGAAGGTCGAATGGACCTCTTGAGATCCTCATACACTCTGTTACAATCGATTTGTGCCTCAAGTGCGTTGGCAGCTCAACACGCTGGCTCGTTACGCTCGGGCACCAGCGATTCAGAAGCTAAAACGCATGTGCGTAGCGGACGGAAGGCCTACCTAGGCACGGTTTAGACTACGTCATATATTCCACAGAAATTGGTCAAGAACTGACAATTATTCCGTCCAGAATCCGCACATACCATTGTTCCTGGAGTCACTCAGCTCAACAATGTACAAGTCAACTGGGTTCACCTGCGCGGTATGAATTGTTTGCTATGCGCAACTGGCTGAAAACTAGTGCACATCAGCCCTCGCAGCAGTGCCCACGCAGCCTACCGGTGCATCATCCCCTCCCTGCCGAATCCCCAACACATGAAGGCAAACGGAGGAAGGAGGGGGCTGCTTCGGAGAGACAGACACCAGAACCTGCCAAGTTCTGTGTTGCCCTTGGGGCTCCCTGAAGAGTGCGTATGTGTGGAATACACCAACGGAAGGAAGAAGTATATCTTTTGAGGAAAATGCACAAACCAGGAGCCTCTTGCCAGCTGAACTGATAATGCCTCACAGATACACGTACCCTCCAACAGTTATATTGAAGCAGCTCATGATGGTTTTGGGCGGGGAGCATATTATGTACTGCCAACCCAATGGTTCTGTAGATTTCAAGGCACTTCGTACGCAGTATGCATGTGCAAGGCACTAATCCCTTTGCATTTGACAGATGTGTTCCGGGAACTGCCAGAACGCGCCATGTGCTCGTCCTACGATGCGAGCACTCTGGAACAGCGAAAAGAGTTGCGCCAGGAGTAATACAATTTCTAGCTCTGCGAACCACCAGCCCTACTAGTACGCCGGCTTAGTCAAGTGTGCGTACTCTGTTACTCCATGAGGTGCTGTGAACTACAGCGTTCAATAGCGGCTGGAGGGCGGCACGCTGGCCTCGGCCCCTGCCCATGGCGTTTCCAGCCACCTTTCAGGCTTGGTACTACTCCAAAATCACTCTAAATAAAGGCTGCGATTCCTCATGTCTCCCGAATGGAGTGTCTGAGGGTCTGGCGCAGGCTTCCTGCTGCAAGCTTTACGGAGAAGCTGCCCTGCACAAGACGGTAGTATGGCTAGATGGGCGTGCTCAAGTGTCATGCTCCCCTGATGCGTTCTACGAGCTATTGCTCATGCCACACCGAACTAGCGACAGCATCGTCGGGTGAGACGATGCGAGAAGTCAGCCAAGAAGGCCTTCGAAGAAATTTTTGCTCTAGCCGAACACCACACAGCGCATCGTGGGAGCGGTGTTTGGATAGCCCCCATGTGAGATCAAAAGCTACAAGTCTTCGTGCAGCGAATTTGTTAGGAGGTCAGCTACGGAGTGTCAGGCTCCTCTCTGGAGAAGAAGTTCGGTGTAGCGAAATGAGCAGTCTCTCTTCGTACATGTCCATCATCGTGTGCTGGCTGTGCTGGAACACCAGCAGGAGGAAAATAGGGGCAGTAACAAAAAAAGACACGAGTTAAGGGGCAGAAGAGAGTTGTTGCCGGAAAAATGAGGCGTGGAATAGGATGGGAATAAGAAGACCCTACTTGGAAGCCTCCCTAGAGGCGTGCAACCGCCAGAGGACTGTTGAACTGTGTCAAGGGTTTCAGCAGCTGCCATGTCTGGCCAGCCTGGCCTCTACTCTTGTGTACGCTAGAAAAGCTCCTCTTTAACTTTATTAATGGTTTGAAAGGTGTTGCCGAGGTTTGTTTCCTCCGCGAAAGAGAAGCAGCTCTCCCCCCTCCGCGATCTTGTTAATGCTCCGGAATTTTCCTTTAAAGGCTTTCGGGCCACCCCCCTCGGCCCGTCCTCCGATCTCTTTGTTAACAAGCAATGTTCGAAAGCTCCTGTAAGGCCGCCTGCTGTGACTGCCTTCGGAGGTGTATTCTGTTGTGGCTGCCTTGAACATCTTAGGATCGCCGTTTCTTCCTATTCACCGGCCGCGCACACGCATGGTTCCACCTCCTTCTAATTCCCATGATGGAAGCGTCAGCACAAGGAGGATCTCCCAGATGCAAAGGGCGCAGCAGTACCAAGACAGCCGTCGCTGCCGGCAGCGATAGCGTCGCAAGCAGCAACGCGCTCAAAAGCAGCACCGCTGACAGCGGGATGAGGCACAACTATTGCAGCAACGCCACGTGCATGACGGCTGAAACATGTTTGGACTGCCAGAATTGCAGCAGCAATAGCGGTGGGAAGCCGTCTGCAAATAGACGTTTGCTCTCGCCAGCAGGCGACCTGTTGAGGGCCTTTGGTCGGGAGAGGCTGACAGTGGTTATCAAGGTGGGAACCTCGACGCTCATGGATGAGCGGCTGCACACTCCCAGCTTTTCCCTCTCGAATATTGGCAAGCTCGTTGATACGGTAAGCCGAGGCTGCCACTCTCTTGCTCCTCTTCCCATTCTACGTCGTAGCTCCCGAATTCCAGTTCATCAGAAAGCTGCACAATTGCTGCCCTACTGTGTAAAGGGCGACTATTCCTCACCCCACCCTCCCAGTTCGCTTCTTTGCTCATCTTCTCACCTCTGTTTGAGGGTCCTCCTGTATTGCCTGGCCCCTCCCGCTTGTGTGGACGTCGATAGCTTCCTCCTGTGTCTTCTCTCTACACTAGTAATGCCAACCCTCCCTTCGCAAAATAAGGCCTTTTCCGCCTTTTCCCCGCTTGCCGTCTTGTCTTCCGAATCGTCGCCAGCCGCGTCTCGCAGTACCTTTTGTTTGGTCTGCCCTCTGCGCGTTTCGGGAGTCTCCGAAGGCGCCAGTGCTGTGGTTGTTGCCGTCCCCGACTCGATGTCTGGAGGCTTGCAGCTTCTTTGCTTCGAGCTGTTTAGCGGAATGCTGAGCAGTCATCCTCCTTGTGCGCTGTGCTTTCTCAGATTTGCCTCTTGCGCTCGAAGGGTGTGTCTGTTCTGTTGGTAACCAGCGGAGCAGTGGGGGCAGGTTGTGTGGCTTTGCACCTGCAAAAGCGGCCAGAGGCTATCCGAGAGAAACAGGCTCTTGCTGCAGTGGGCCAGTGTCGCCTCATGCGACTTTACGAGGATTTGTTCAGGCAAGGCAGCACCTGAGGCTTGTATCGTTCCCCCATCACGTTCGTTGCGCAGCGGATGGCTCTCAGCAGCAAAGGTGGCTTCGTGCAGGCGAAGGGGCACAGGCAGCAGCAGGCAGGCAGCCTTCTTTTAGAGACACCCCTTATCAAAGTGCTGTCCACAGTAGTATCGACGCCAGGGATATACTGCGCTTGCGTTTGTTGGCGCAGTGTGCGAGAAGTGCGAGTGGCTCAGCTGTTGGTCAGCCGCAACGACTTTCTACGGCAGAGAACCTACGGCAATTTCAGGAGCTGCCTGCGCTCTCTGTTGGATCTGCATGTCTGTCCTTCTCACTGCAACTTTCTCAGCACCCGCGTGTGCATGCACTAATTTAACTGCTGCTGCTGGACTTCTCCTCTGGTCTTACTTCTCTGCCTTGGCTGTGCGTTCGGCTTTTAGCCAGGCGTGACGACTCCCAAGAGGTCGTGCATCTGCGTAAACCCGCAATTTTGATTGCTGCGATGCGAGACTTGTATTCGCAATGCAACGCCTCCTTCATGTGCCTCCTCCTTCCCCTTCCTCCCTTTGTGCGCTTCTTTGCATGCAGGTGGTGCCTATTCTGAATGAGAACGATTCCATTTGTACCGAGGAGCTGCGATTTGGAGATAACGATACGCTGGCTGCGCACTGCGCTGTTGCCCTCGAGGCAGACTTTCTCTTCATCCTCACCGACGTGGACTGCCTTTACACAAAAAATCCAAAAGCGCATGCGGGTATGCCTCGCAATTCGCGTGTGTAACACCTAAGCACTGTCTACCCCTTTTAGTGCTTATTGTCGAGAAACCTCGCAATTGGGGTCCTCTCCTTTCCTTGCGCTTGTTTCTTTGCTACTTCTCCTTTTCCCCTCCCCTGCTTATCTGTGTAGGTATGGCCGTGCAAAACTGAATGCATGTATTGCCTGTGCTATAAATGCGTACAATGCATGTATTGCATGTTCTATAAATGCGTACAATGCATGTATTGCATGTGCTATAAATGCGTACAATGCATGTGTTGCATGTGCTATAAATGCGTACAATGCATGTATTGCATGTACTGTATATATAATATATACAAATATACATGCATTACGTGCAGGCATGCGTGTGTTTATTGTAGTGTGTATGATCTGTCCTTCCGCGCGTTCCCTCGTTTGGCAGAGATCTCCCTGCGTGTGCGAGACTGCAGTGGCCTCTTTGGGTTTTTCTGTGGTTTTTTTTTCGTGATGCCTCAGACGCTTGTCCAGTGTGGTTTGTGGATCGCTTCACGGATGTGTATTCGTACCTCTCCCTCCAGGGAGGTGGTGGCGCATGGGGGACTGGCGGGATGTATACCAAGGTCGTTGCCAGCAAGATTGCAACAAACCTCGGCGTGCATGTGGGCATTGTTAATGGCGCACATCCGGATAGGGTGTTGGACATGCTTCAGTTTGTTGCCGAGCACAGGATTCTGCATCCCTTACCCCTCCTGCACTGCCCGTCAGCACCGCTGCTGCAGAGCCACGCAGCGGCAGCTGCAGCGGCAGGGGCACCTCCAGGAGGAGCAGAAAGAGGCGACACTTTTGCAAACGACTCCCTGCAGCAGCCACCAAATCCGCGCTTGTCGTTGGACAGCACGGGAGACGTGAGCGGGCAGGAGACTATGGACAGAGCCTTTCACCGAACGGCAGCAGAGGCCTCCTCCTGCTCGAAAAATTCCGAAATGACAGGGATCTATGAGCAGACGCAGAGCGCCTGGCGCGCAAGCGGGCGGAGTGGTGTTCAGGGGAGTCTCGCTCTCAATGCGCAATCTTCTGCCCCAGTCTCAGACTTGCGGGTGCTGCCTGCACAGTGGTGTAGCTCCCCCCCAGAGCCTAGTGCCGCTGCGCTTTCCACCGACCTCGCAGCCGATGTCGCGGGTGCTGAGCATTCCCCGCGACGCAGACTCTCGTCTTCGCTCGTCGTGGAGGCGGGTGTCGAGTCAGAGAGTAGCTGCAGCAGCAAGAAAAGCGTTTTGGAGGATGATTCGCCTACCGCGGAAGCAGATACGAACACGGGCAATCTCCCAGTGGCCTCTCCCCTCAACTGCACCTGCACTGCGGAGCAACTTACCGGTGGAGTCGCACCCGAGATAGCGCCACTACCGACGCCTGCAGCAACAACAACGGAAGCCACAGGCAATCAGCTGGCGTGTGCAGCCGTGGGCTTCCATAAACGCTGGCACAGGCAAGGCCGTCCGCTGCAGCAGCAACCGATACAGCATCACAATTTCCCCCAGCAGCCACCCAGCTACGAATGCTGCTGGCCTAAGCAAGAAAGCATCCGATTCGCAATTCCATCAGAGGAGGATAGTCAAGGCTCTCCCCCGTCCTTTGAAGGTGCGATACGGCCTCCCTGCCTTGTGCACTCACTCGCGTGTCTTCTCGTCAAGCTCTATCCTTGAGCTTCACGCTTCTGTAGCCACTGCTGCTGCTGCTGCCGCCATGGCTGTCGCAGGCACCATATTTATCTCGAATGCCCCTACGGGTCCATCTCAGTCGGTTCGTCTGGTGCGACGCTGGATTCTTTCGTTGCCAGTGCGGGGAGAGGTGGACGTGGATGTCGGGTGCGCCCGCAGCCTAGTGCTGCATCGCAAGAGCCTCTTCGCCGCTGGTGAGTGCTCGTTGTTGTTGTTGCAAAGACTGTCTCGCAGTGTTCGCAGCGTCTTTGCTTTTCGTCGTACTCTGTGGGCTCCTATGGACGTGCGAAGGCTTTTGCCACAAGACGTATGGCCTCGTGGTAGCGATGAGTCGCTCTAGAGTATCTTTTTTTCTTAGGCGTCAAGGCTGTGAGGGGGACCTTTGTTGCTGGAGAGTGTCTCAGTATCTTTCTGCATGGATATCAGAGCTCCAGCGGCGTCATGGGGGCTGAGATAGGCCGCTGCGTCACCGGCTTTTCAAGTGAAGAACTTCACGTCGTGAAGGGTGCGTGAGCCGACGATGATTGTAGATAGCTCCCTACTTTTTCACCGCTGGCTAGACTCTGTGGCAGGACCATCACCTTGGCAGCCAGTGCGGTCTTCCGTATTGGTGTCACTGACAACTGATGGGATCTGTTCCACCTTGTCTGCCAGCACGCATCCTCTCGAGCTTTCTTCCCCGTGATCGAAGCCTTCCCCACTCCTTCTCGAAGAGGGGTGCGTGCGTCTCTTTGTGCATGTGCAACCGGAGCGTGGTTGCTTCTATGCTATCATCGGCGGGAAGGTTGGATGGGGACTGCTTGCGCGCTTCATCGATGGCTGTTTGCGTAGGACACCGCAGTAGGGAATTTGAAAGCCTTCTTGGATACGCTGCAGATCAGGAGGTCGCACACCGACACGATTTGGTGCTCGTCTACATGAATGGCGATGACAGACTCCGCCGTATTTGTGAAGGCAAGGAATCTCTCTAGCTCAATGAATCGCTCTCTTGACGGTTCATGTGGGGATCTCATGTAAAGCCTCCAGGGAGGCACCCTGCGGTTCGCAAAACACTCCGCGGATCAGGTCTCCACATTGCTGTGCTCAAAGGTGCGTAGTGCACCACTGCACTCCTACTCACCCTGCTCTTTTGCATGCGTGAGGCCCCTTATTGGCTACACACCACGGATGTGTGGGAACCGAGGACCTGCTCAGAAGCCAAAGGATGCTGGCAGTAGGATCGCGTGCTCCTGAGCTGTAGCGACAGCGCTAGAAGCGGCTTACTAGCTGGGGGAACCTAGCTGATAACGATCGATGTGTCTTGGTGCGAGCTGTGCGGTATCAGCTTGTGGTTTTATGCGCTCCCCTTTAACGGCTTTTGCTGGCTTTTAGTTCGGCTCCTAAAGACACCATTTTTCTTCGACGTGACAGAAGGCCAGGTTTCAGCCCGTTACAGGGGAGTCTTTTTTTTTCGGGTCTGAAAGAGCTCACGCGATAATCTCATGTATTGCCTGAAGCTGCAACTCACGTCCAAGCTACCTACAGCACATTTGTGGCTGAAAAGGGCACATGGCGGTGCTGCCCGGAATGGGCGCTCTGAACATAGGTGCAGAAGGTAGCTAAAGGGAAGTGCTCGTAGAGAGAGTACAGGGAAGCCTGTGGAGTTCGACGGATGGTCCTAAAGGGCGCTAAAACCGCATACTATGGGAGGGAGCACTGGGTCGCTATCTTGTGCCTTTTCCCGGAATACAAGTTACTGCGCAAGATTTCCAAAATCCAGCGAGCATATCTACCAGTGACTACACGATCACTCTGCGTTGTTTGGACAACCAGTTCTCCTTCCGTGTGCACGCACGAGTCGGTGTCGCTGGCAATACACTCCTCTAGGGTTGTTTGTCATCCTCGCGGGGAGCGAGTAAATCCAAAAGGTCGCTGCAGCTGCAGAAGGCGTCAAAGGCAGCCCAAGAAACGGCAGCGGTCAGAAGATTTCATGCTCTCTGAGGAGAGCTGCAGCTTATTGCAAATTATCACCTACTGGGTTTTGAATGAGCCATAGCCACACTGCATGCTGCCTCTCTCTTTCAACCCCAACTCAAGACCGACAAATTTAATTGTACATGCAAGGCATTAGGGCAAATAAAAAGAGTGATGAGTCACTAACACCATGCAACAGGGGTAACGGGAGGGTGAAACCTTGGGGGCCCCCCGGTGGGTATGGGGCCCCCCGGCGTCGAAATTGGAAACCCCCTAAAGAGCACAATAGCCTAAATATCCCGTATTTTCCGGACAGCCCTCCATATCGACACTTCTTTAAGGGCCTTTTATCTTCCTTCCTTGTGATGTGGAGTCAAAAGTCTGGAGCGTAAAGCCTGAAACGCGGGTTCAGTAAGTGGTCATTTCGGTATTTTTTGTCGAGTGGTATGCAACGGCACTCATCCCCTATGCTCCGAGAACCGACATTAGGTTTGTGTGAGGCATCTCGGCAGAAGAAGGCCTACGATTCTAGGTCGACACTGTCTCGGCAGCGTCCATCCGAATAGAACTGCATCGGCGTCACCGTCGTGAAATCCAAGATTCTCGTTGGCAACCGTCGCTAGGCCGTGATCGTGCCTGTCTGTCCACTGTAGGCAAAGCTGGTCCAAAGCAGCCTCCAAAGACCTCTTCGATCGTCGGAGGCACCGAGAAGGATCCTTCTCAACGGAGAGAAGCTCCCCCATGGCATGAATTCAGTGGTCTCGATTTCCTGTTTCTGCCCGGCAGATTTTCCTGTGGCTGAAAATGGAGGGCCTGATCCACCAGGAACAGGAGCCGAAGGACACAGAGAAATGGGTGGGTGTTTCGAGACGTATGCCCTCTGCCAATGCGCCTGCTCGAAATTTTTGTGTGGATCTTCTACACGCAGAGCTCTCTGTTTGTGTGCAGATGGACTCTCTGCTGAGCTCTTTGGGATCGGCGTTCTCGGACCTGAATTGCGTCGTCTGCGAGCAGCTCAACGATAATTTCGCTCTCCGCAATAACCTCCCGCAGTGCGCGCATGAGTCTCCGTCTGTAGCGGTGGCCCCTTCCCTGTATAGGCGTTTCTTAGTGTCGATTAGGACCATGTGTGCTCAACCCAGCCAGTCACCCCCTATGTGTAGGCTCATGCCTTCGGCACGTGTGTCAATCTGTGTCTTTAAAGTTTAGTCTCGCCGCTTTTTCTCTCGCCCTGTGCCACCCGTCAGGCGTCGTGTGCCGACCCCACCGCTTTGCTGCGCACCGCTCAGCTGAACATGGCTGCCACTTCGGGGGATTGAAAAGACAGCTGCTCTCTCCACGCGCGTCTATGTGCGTCTTCTCAGGGGCAAACTGGTCTCGGATTGGTTGGCGCTCGCTGCTGGAATTAGGGGTTTCGATTTGGCGAGGAGCACCGGGGAGGCACACCTTGCCTCCTTCGCGCTGGCCCCTTGCAACAGCCTTCCCGTTAATCCTTTCACGGGACGAAAGGAAGACATCGATTGCTGTGAGCCACCAGAACCTCCCCAGTTTGCCCCTTACACCCACGGGAGGCGTGGCGAAGGAGGACTTCGCAGGGGCCCCTGAGGGGCCCCTGCTAGAATTCCTTACCTTGCCTCTCCTCACTAGAAGGCAGAGACTCTCTTTGTGTATCTTAAGAAGAAATCAGCAGACACCACGGCTCTCTGCGGCTTCTGTCACCAGTAACGCATCTTGGCTGAGAGGCAACCTGCATTTTCAGGCTTCATGCTGCCTTCGGAAGTTCGCCTGCTCCTGCCCTTTCCTATTGACACTCATCGACAAGTAATAGGCAAGGCATATACGCCTTCTTTAAGGCTTTCCCAGTGTCGTGTGAGTGCGCATGCGTGCGCAGTGTTGGAGGCTATGAGCGGCCTAGCCAGCGACTCCGCAGAGGCCTCTACCCGTGCAGCGTACGGCCGGCTTGCCGCCACAAGGCGATTTGAGCCCTCCCCCCGAGAGCTTTTTGCAAGAGTCAGTGCATTCAACAAGTCTCTCGAGGGGTTAATGCAAGCCTTTGATGGGGAGACGCGTAAGCCACGAGAAAACCATGCACGCACCTTCATTTCTCTTCCCCCCCTCCCCCCCGTGTGTTCCTCTCGTGCACTTGCCTTCGGGCGCCTCTCTGAACGCCTGCTGCTGCAGCAGCCACCGTCGCAAGCTGCTTGCTGGGTGTCTTTGATTCAACTTTGCTTTCCATTTACTCCCTTGAAAAAGCTGGAAGACAGAGCCGCTCTGCTGTCTCGTCATGGTTGCTCTCCACTCTTCCTGACTTCCCTCTGCTCAGCGTGTGCTGATACAGGGGCCTCGCGGCACCGGGGCCCCCAGCGTGCAGGGAAAGGCTCGCATGATTGTGTCTATGTTGTGGAGCACGCCGAGTCGCCTTTGAACTTCGCCTCTCTGCTGCTGCTCCTGCCCCCTCCGTTCGTGATATTTTCCCAAGTGCCGATTGCTCTGTGGGGTCTCTTCTGTTGCGCAATTGTTGCCCTGGCTTCTGCAGCAAAGCCTCAACCGTATCGCGTTGGAAACTCACTTTTGGCGGCTTCCAGCGTTGTGCAAGCCTCCCGGAAGCCCAAAGACGCAGGCCAGCTCGAAGCCCTACTCGCCGATGCAAAGTTTTGCATGCGTATGTGATGTGGATCACCCCCCCTACTCTTGCCCCTCCTCGCAGTGAACGTGAGAATTAATCCCGCTGCAGCGCTAGCTTCCCCTACAGTATCTTCAGTTCTTAAATTTGCTGTCCTCGTTGCTGCGCCCCTCACTCAGGTGCACAACCCTGACAATCCTACGACTCGGTAGACGACGAAAATTGCTGTAGTGTGTCAGTTCAAAACCCTTCACAATCGCACTAACCACAAAAGAAGCGCCCCCTGATGCAGGCGGAGTGTTTGGCAGTGGTGCCGCGGCCATGGCCACTGGATGGGTGTGCGGCTTGCCGCGTACAGTCGCACTGCTGCGATAGCAAAAAAGACCACACACCGTTCTTCACTCCTAGTGCTGCCGCCTGCTGATTTGCACCGCTCGGTCTGGCCCTTCAGCCTCATCAAGTCAAAACACACAAGCGGCGGCGCTATGCGCTTTCTGAACCACGCATATACACGTAGTCTGCCTCTCAGTAGCCTGCTAGCAGCAGCGGCAGAGGGGTCGGTGTCCAAGCAACTATCTCTACAAGCCGGACTTCGCTAGTGGTAGTGTCAAACACCCGTGTCATCATCGCCAAACAGAAAATCGTAGGCACTCCAACACCGTGCGCCCATTTAAATACATAGTCACTGTGCCAATTTGGGAACTGTATAAAGGGCATGCTTTGCATTTTCACTCGTGCCTTCTTGGCACCGGCAAAAACACCAAGCGTAATACGCACATGCTCATCGCCCTGCGGCGAATGGCACACCCATGTAGGCGTCTCCCTAGCCGCTGCAGCATGAAGTGCGGCTGGAAGAAGCACCCATGGACTGATGAGTATTGCAGCCGCATCTCGAGTCTCACTGCGCCCCGTCCCCCCCCCCACCCAAGCGTCACCCTCCGCCCCCAACAAAAAGGAATCCCAATATTGAACAGTTAGCATGCAGAAGGAGGATCCCCCGTGGAGGCCGTGGCTGGCGCGAATTGCAAAAAGGGGGGCCCCGCGGGAGCACTAGTGAAAGGGGGGACCTTATGTGGCTTTAGGGCTTCACTATTGCCCGCTCAGGTTAGATGGCACGACAGATGCTTCCTGCTGTCTCCGCAGACTGCGCATGAAGGGCAGCCAAAGATCGGGCGTGCGTGTTTAGTGGCCGTAATCAGGGAGACTTGGCGGCACCAAGGTGATATGAGAGAATAAATCCTGCCAGTGTATCCGAAAGAATGTCTTTCACCTCCATTTGGAAGACTGGATGCCTTTCATAAATGTCGCGGGGCTTGGGCCGGCGCAAGGGGTTTGGTTCGAGCAATAGGCGAATCATATGCTGTACGCAGCATCTCGATAGCGACTCACAACCGAATTAACACTACGCAAGCGTGCACACGCGAACACAAGCGTACGCAGCGGCAGGAGCACCGGAAGCAGAACAAGCTGAAATCAAACTACAAGTTTCGCTTACAAGAACGGCCAGCGGGGTGTCCGGACTGCAGTGGCTAAAATCCAAGTCTTCAATGTGCGCGTAAGCAGTCTTGTCTGCAAAGAACGACTCACAGACGCGCACACCCTCACCAAAGCTATGTCCAATACATGTGTAAGCCGTAAGAATAAATGCGGCAGCACCCGCGATCACTCCTGTATTTGGAACCAGCAGCGCTCTTTTACAGAGGAGTTGTGGCTGGCATGCAACTTCAACAGCAACAACTACAGAGAAGCCGAGGTGCCAAGGCTGCCAAATGCTCATTCCTGCCAGGTCCTACCCAGAAGCTCCTCATACAGCGCATCATCCGCTCCGTAGGGGCGTGAATGGAAACACCAGACTCTATAAAATACAACACCAAGGGCCCAAGAATCCTTCATTTCCGTAACCTTCAGGGTGCGCTCTTTCTCCCGCATACACCTCAAATTCTCTGGAGGCAAGTATGTCGCAGTGCCTTCCATGCAGGACGCCACGTAGCCCACAGGCTGCAAAGCATGACAGCGCAAATCTCAAAAATAGTCTGAAAACCAGCTAGAAAGATGCCCCAAAAAACGAGTCCCTCAAGGCTTATACTAGAGAACAAAGTGTCACTGCTATACAGAGGGGTAAAACGCGCATATCTAGACGCAAGGACCTAGCGAGACAGCCGGAAGAACAGCCGTGTATTCGGGAAGCATGCCAGCACGCTGCTAAAAACAGCAAGCCCACGTGTGCAAGCGAATAGTCTCCTAAAAAGATGCGGCCATCTGCTTTCACGAAAAAGTTCTGCGTCTTCACGTCCGAGTGAACCATCCCCATATCATGCATCCGCACCACTGCCCTGTGCACCAGCAGCAAACCCACAGGGAGCCCGCAACGTTTGTCCTCCTAATCCTTGCGTATGCGGAGCTTCTGCCCCTGCCGCTCTTCCCACGTGAGGAAATCGGTGGCTCAATAGAGCGATATACATCCCGGCATGCGCGTTGCTTTCTCGAGAAACACGCCATAGAAAGCTCACAGCAGCATTTGCTTTGTGGCAGAGAGCTTCGCAGAGGCCGACGCAGAGGGGAGGCCTCGAAGCATCGCGACGTCCCCTGCAGCAAGCGCCGCAAGCATCAGAAGAAAACATCTCTGGTAAGAAAAACCCTTCTTCAAGATCCGATCACGAAAAGCTCAAGAGGCGGAATCCTTGTTTGAACCGGCCCGACGAGAGGCCCACACAAGGGGGTAAGAAAGACGCATCGACACACAAGCGAAGCTGCGGAAATCGCACTCTTCATTCTCTTCTCAAAAAGAGAATAGCAGCACGAAACCAGGAAGCGCCGTTCCCATCAGCAGCGCTAGGCTCAACATTGACACACCTGCAAATCGCTCGAAGACAACCCATTGCGGCCAGTACCTCGTTCGGTCTTCGGGTGGGGGAGCAAAATTTGCAGTAGGCTCAACGACATCAAGGGGCATTACAACGTGTGACAAGTGCGACCAAACTCCCAGAGGAAGATCTGCAGGGGCCGCCTTAGCGATCGCCACCTCCAGGCGTACGCGACGCTTAAGACGATCCATATCTTTGGCAAATCCCCGCTGGTGCTTCTCGTGAATACAAAACACTTTCACAGCAAACTCCGCATGTGGCGCACCATCCACACGACCCTACACAACAGGCAGGCCAATAGACGTACACACACACACATACATACACATACATACATATGCGTACATACATATACATACATACACATACATACATATACATACACATACATAGATACACATACATACATACATACACATACATACATACACATACATACATACACGCAGTGACAGGCTAGCAGCTCGGACAAACTGCATCACGCCTAAATGAACTATCCACAGTTCACGAGATGCAAGCCTGGTATCAACAGCTAGCAGGCCCTCTCAACAAGGACCCCAACACACGCGACCAGACTATAGACCACAAGGCTGGCTGCACTTGAAGCCTACAGAGGATCCACAAAGCAGCTGTAGCTACCCGTGAGATCAGAGAAGAAGCGGCCTCTGAACACGCAACACTAAGCGGCCTCCCCCCCCCTGCCGTCCACTGCAATGCACTTCACTAAGGAGTTGGGGCGGACTTCTTTTGCCGCAACAACGGCAGCAAATGAGTCTGATTACACAGTCCCACAGAGTCTCTCTGGAGGCAGCTAAAAAGCTTCTTGCGTATCGACCCAGCTGATAGCTAGGCATCTATCGTGCTCGCTTCCAGCAAAAAGGTAAGCTTACCAGCAAGACAATGCCCTGCCCTCCCGATCCAAGAACGGACTGCAAGACGATCCGAAGCTTAGCGCCAGTCGCCAGGTTGCGCACCTCGATAGGCACTCCGAACGGATACACCGCCTTTATTTTTTCCTGTACACAAGCAGGTACCGCTAAACGCCCTAACTCCCAAGATATCGAGCTGCCGTGCAGCGGGAAATACAGAATGCGTGAGTTCGAGAGGAGGCAACTACGCAGTAGGCTTCTAAGAAAAGGTACAGTGGACAGGGCCTCCCAACTAGCGGGCACACGGTGTGCGGGGATATTCAACTAATAGCAATATCGGGGTGGGAGGAGGAACCTAGGAGGGCGCCATCACTGCGTAAGCGGGAATACTTTTTAAAAGTCCATATAGTTTCTACGTTTCTTGCCTTGTAAGTAGACAGCACAGGCGGGGCCAAAGCGGCCGTCAAGCGAACCAAGTCCATTGGCGGCTTCGGAAATGTCACGGGCGGAAAATCCTTCAAAAGCAGCTCGGAGACGCCCCCGACGGATATTTCTGGGAGCAACAAGTGGCGCTGCTTTTGAGGCTGCAACTGCTTCCCCGTGGAAAATTCCTTGGTCTGCTGGGCCGGTTCAGCGGGAAGCCTTTCGTTAGAGACGGGGAGAACGTCGACATGACCTGCATCGCCAGACTCCTCAGGATCCATGTAGCTCTTCTGGCTACGTAGGGCCTTCCGATATCCTAAACTTTCTCCACCAACGCAGTCAGGGGGGTTGCCCTCACACTCTGGTCCCACTGTACGGGTGCGCTTGATGGCGTCATCGTGCTTTCGAGCTGCCACACCGCTCACGGGGACGGCAAACACCCGAAAACGAGGTGACTCCTCATAGATGGCCTGACGACCACCGACGCCATGGAGGCCAACAAAGAATGCCACGAAAACAAAGATACAAGACTTGGTGAGAGCCCTCATCAGCTCGCGGCGGAAGGCGGCATGACGCGTAGCAACTGGAGATCTGCTACTGTAGCAGCTCCTGTTCGCGGTGCTGCTAACGCCGCCAAAAGATCCCTACAAAACGTGGATTTCTCATACCTTCACTGCTGGCCGTTGCATTCGGGCAGCTGGGACTCCCTCCTGTAAGTGAAAAGGGACTAAATGCAACCACGTGCTGCAGCCCCCTTAACACTGTTCTGTCAATGGTTACTGCTGATGCAGCTGCTACTGTTAACGCTATGTGCCTGTTGCCCAGCGGCCGCTGTTGCTGCTGTTCTTGCCAGTGCGGTTGCGGCTGGAAGCAGTCCCTGGAGCTCATGGA